GCATCTCGGAAAGCCACGGTTAAAACATATGGGAAGTTGGTAGATCCTGACTCTCTTAAATACTTCATCTCCCCATTTCAGCTTCCCTATATTCAAACAATCCAACATTGCTCTACCCCCTTGGACTCGGCATTGTTGACCCGTCAATCTTTGTCCACCCATATTAACACTCATCATTCCACTACTCACTTACCATTTCTCTTCGGCATTAGACAGCACATCACATTTCTCGAAAAATGAGTCTACGAACAGCTATGTGCCTCCCACGGAGGGCGACTTGCTTCCATGCGTCCGCAGTGGATCCCCGACGCTGGCCGTCCAGCAAGGCCCGAGCTTTCTCCACAACTATGCATCGTGATGCGACGTGGGGCTTCGTTGGACTGGGACAAATGGGTACGTTGTGAGATCCGCGCCCGGGGCCCGAGGACCCGAGGAACTTCGGCTATACAATGGACTGCGGCCTGTTTGTGTTCAATTTGCATTAGCTGACTGCCCTAGGCTACCATATGGCCAAAAACCTGCGCGCCAAGATCCCCGCATCCGATACATTAATTATTCGCGATGTCAATGAAGATGCCATGGAACGATTCGTTGCAGAGGCCCGGGAGACCGCACAAAGCAATGGCGCAGGCGCCAATGAAGGTCAAGTCGAGATCGCTCAGAGTGCGAGGGAGGTCGCCGAGAAATCGGTAAGTGGTTATCTACCATGTGGGTCCAGCTTGGGGTCTGATAACTAAGCTTATTTCTGTCTGCTCTTTAGATAGTCATGGTTACCAGTCTCCCGGAGTCTCAACATGTCATTGACGTGTTCCACTCTATCCTTAAACATGGAGCGCTGCCACCGCTCGAGCAGGAGCGTCTCTTCATTGACGCATCTACCATTGACCCCGTCACATCCAAGGATATCGCAAACGCCATCCATACCACGCAAACCGGCCGATTCGTGGACGCCCCCGTATCTGGGGGTGTGGTCGGTGCTCGCGCAGGAACGTTGTCGTTTATGTTCGGCGCCTCGTTACAGACAGACGAGCAGCTTGAGCGCATCCGTGGTGTGCTCGCTTTGATGGGTAAAAAGGCATGGCATCTTGGTGAGCCTGGTGCTGGTGTATCCGGCAAGCTCGCCAATAACTACATTTTGGCTCTGAATAATATCGCCACTGCTGAGGCTATGAACCTCGGTGTTCGCTGGGGACTCGATCCCAAGGCCTTGGCGGATATGATCAATTCGTCGACTGGTCGCTGCTGGCCCTCTGAGGTTAACAATCCCGTTCCTGGTGTTGTTGAGACAGCCCCTGCGTCGCGTGGATACGAGGGCGGATTCGGGGTGAGTCTCATGCACAAGGACCTTCGCTTGGCTCTTGCGGCTGCGGAACAGTCTGGTACTCCTCTTGCCTTGGGTGCTCAGGCCCGTGAGGTATACAAGGCTGTCGAAGAGGAACACCGGGGGAAGGATTTCTCGGTGGTTTACAAGTGGCTGCAGGAGAAGTCCCAATAAGTGCTTTTTATATTGAGTGAAGTTCCTGAGTATTTTCCTTTTTGGACATCTCGATTCCCCAATTCAGTGCCTGCTGCTCTTTCTCATAGAAGTGGTTTCGGGATATAAAACTGTTGCAATTTAGCATCCTTTTCAATTGAAGCCAAGGACTTTTTCCATGTGTCTTCAGAGCATATACAATATTCCAATATCAGAGGTACACATATAGCCTCCCATGTGACTTCACTTTCTATTTTCCCCAACACCCAAACTTCCCCATAGCTCCTTCTCTCATTGTTACGCTCTTTCCTTATCCAAGACTGCCATTCTTTCTTCTTAGGGAGTTTTTCTTCCTGCTTCTCATCCTCCCATCTTCATCCCATCCCATCTCCATTCTATCCCACCATCTCCCCCCCCCCCATTTACTTTGCCATCGGTCTCATCCTGGCTCATTTATCCCATTTCCATTTCAAAGACCGTCCAGACTTTCGTTGCCTTATACCTCATCCCCACTTACCTCCTCGCCTCGAGTTATCATCAGACGCCTTGCAGCCTGAGAGAACAGACGGCAGGTTGCATCCTCGACAATAGGTAAGCCTTCGACTCAATTTTGCTCGTGCTCGACTATCCTCCCAGTCTCCATTTTGGCTGACCCTGGCGTGCTTGGACAGCAGCCAGACTTTCTTGTCAGAAGTGTCTATATAATTTGGCGCAGGAAATCAGGTGAGGTTTCATGCGATTGAACCACTGGGTATTTTGCCAACTGGAATTGCCCACCAAGGTCTTTTCTGTTGCGTGTCTGTGAACCCCGAAGAACCAGCTGATAAAATTAATCTCTGCCAGTTTACGCTCTTCATTATGCACGGCTCCCAGCACACGAGCTCCTCTGGCTCTGGTCAGACATCAAGCTCCCAGTCTGGACCCTACCAAAACGAGCCTCGTACGCCCTATGGCCCCAGGTACCAGCAATCCACCAATCCGAGTTCTCGTGACAGCAGCGTTGCAGGCCTGACCAATCTTTTCAGAGGATTGAATCTGCAGAATCCTCGACCCAAGTTCAACGGCCCAAAAGGCACCGCACCCGTTCAGGTTAACACAAACATGGACTGGTCGAATACCAACTGTGCGTACAACAGCCCATTCATCCTGGTTCCTAATTCCACCGTTTTCAATGGCGTGCCGACCGTCTCTTCCTTTGTTCCCAACGGTGTCTCAGGTCAGACTGATCAAATGGGTCAATTCTCCTATCTTCCCACGGGAGTTTATTCAAATGTCAACCCTGTGGTGGCTGGTGGATATTCGTCGTGGCCCTACATGATGAACTACGACATGCAGGATGGCACAACCAACAAGCAAGCTGCATGGAATATCCCTGAAGCCCAGAAGGGAGTTCAAGCGGACAACACGGGTCAAATCCATTACTATCCCTCAGCCCTTGTTTCTGGAATGGATGGCGGTTCCATGGCTGGTTACGCTTACGGAGGCATGGTTCCCTCCCAGCTTGGGCCGCTCTCGCTTCCTCTCCAAATGATGAAGACTCCGAATGGATACGTCGTTCAAGACCTGGAGGCTCTGACTCAACAAGAGCCTGCCATCCCACGCGCGGTGCCTGCCATGTGGACCAACCCATCCGAGCTGACACTCGCCAAGTGCCTGGAGAACCGTGAAGGTATAACCAATGTCTACATCCGAGGATTCCTGCCCGAGACCACCGATGAGATGTTGCATGCCTATGCAGCCCGCTTCGGAAAAATTGAGCGTTGCAAGGCGATCGTGGACCTGGACACTAGTCTTTGCAAAGGGTACCTACTCCACGAAACTTTTTCCAATGATTTATTCTAATTTCTTTCCAGATTCGGGTTTGTTCAGTATTACAGCTTCGAATCCTGCGAGAACTGCATTCGTGGTTTCTTTTACCTCGGCTACCAAGCTAGCTTTGCCCAGAAATCTCGCAACTCTCGTCTGAAGGACCTGGAGGATAGGTCTTCTACCAATATATACTGCACCAACATTCCAATCGATTGGACCGAAGCTGTGAGTTATACAACCCCCACCCTCATCTATTCCGTTGGACTCTAATCAGGTTGCTAGGACCTGCGTCGTCATTTCGAGCCGTGGCGTGTTGTTTCGGAGAAAATCAGTCGCGATGAGAAGACAGGTGTGAGCAAGGAAGTGGGCTTTGCACGGTAACAGAGCCAATTGCTTGACTATCATGACTTGTTCGGACCGAAGACTAAATCTTGATCTGCAGCTTTGAAAACCGTGATGTTGCCGAAAAGGTCCTAATGGAATTCCACAATGTCACCAAGGATGATGGGGTAAAGCTGCTCCTGCGCTTTGCTGATACCAAGGCCCAGAAGATTTTGAAGCAACAGAGCAACGAACGTCGCGCTTACCGTGCCGGAGAGTACAACTACTCGGTTGAAGTGGTGCAGGGATCTACTCCATCCCCTGGGATGAAACGTGGCTCTCATCTTACTCCAAACTCTCAAGTCAGCTACACCTCCCCAGCTGGTGTGGGCTCTAACTGGACCCCGGCAACATCAATCTCTCCTTGGTATGTCCGAATACTTACAGTGCATTGCAATTCAACCCATTCTAATTGAATTCACAGCCACCCACACATGAGAAATCCATCCAGCAGTGCACGGAGCAGTTCCTTGTCGTCTCGGAGCCTGAATGCTCTTGATCACACGCCCGCATATCGCAGTCGAGCCTTCTCCCTGAGCCGCCGCTCTTACACTGATCTCTCTGGTGGTTCTTCCAAGACTGTCATGCCGGACTCGCCGACCATGGACCCTCGCAAGGAGAACATCAGAGCGGGATCTGTATCCCCTGCCTCTTCTTCTCCCATGGTCATTCTCTCTCCGGCTCGCTCGTGCACTTAAACCCACCGTGCAATATGCAATATGCTCCCACACATATCTGTATTTGTATGGGATGCTTTACATCATCTTACCACCCGAGGTAAGATTGACCAGCACCTTTCCAGGGTGCTCTTTAATGTCCAAATGCGCAGCATCTGTTACCATTCGCAGAATGTATCGACGATGTATGGCTTCGCCTTGCATTTTTTTAGAATTGTTCCACGATTCGAGATTCATGATTCACGATATGATATTCGGTTGTTTTTCTGTTCCCCACCCTTTGCAGTATTGTTATACAACTCTACACGGTATCATTACGGAGTTCGCTTTGCATTTTTATGGAGTTTAATGGGAGGATGGGAGTTACTCTTTTATTTTTCTTTTCTTTCGCAGTTACACGGACTTCGCATGTTTTCAGCAATATGTGACAGGCAAGATGCATGTTTCAAGACTTCGTTCAAAGAACGCTATCGCACCTTGATGGGTTGCGCAGTCTAATATGATATTATTTCAAGACCAAGCCTACTCCACATAGGTGTCCATGTTCAAGATCCAAGGCGCACGAGCACAACTGTAATGTGCAAAGCAATCTATCCGAAAAGGCCAATGAGATAAGAATCTCAATCTATACACATGTAAGAAAACCCACACTATTCAAATCAATTGCGCCCAAGTCTTTCTTCCAGATCTTCCGTGAGTTGGTAAGCAGGAAGATATTGTCCATCCGCCTCGGCGCCAACCCGCAATCTCGGATTAGGATGGGTATCAGAGGTGCCGCCAAGACTGGTATATCCCTCATCATAGAGCGAACAATACTTCAAATCCAGATGCCGAATGAATGCCCAAATCTCCGCATAATGCCAATCAATCACGGGATGCACACGCACAAAATCCGGCCACCCCCCATCCGTCCGATCAAAGTGCGTCAACTGCGCACCATGCGGATCCGTCCGCCGCGTACCAACAAATATCGCCCGGATCCCAGGGTGCCGCGCCAGATAATCCTCAAAGCTAGAGCGCAGCGTCGAAGCCGGCGGCGCAGTCGTATACTTTGTAATGGCGAGGTGATAGGCTTCCGCCGAGGAGATGACAAAGTCTTCGACTGCATCGAATGGATCAGGCGGGAGCGCATAGATCGCGGGGATGACCGTCGCAGCGGCTATTTGGGCCTCTGCGTCGAGGTCTGCGGGGGAGGGGGTTGTGTCGTTTACATTTGCATTTGCCTCGGCATTGGAAGGGATGTTATTGCGGGCGCGTGTTGGATGCAACCCGGCCAGAAACAGAATTAGCAGGACTAGACAGTCCTTGCCACCGTTGTAGGAGACGGAGAGTTCCGAGAGCTTGTATCGCTGTAGTGCGGTGCTGACTACTTCTAGCGAGATCCGCGTTTGCCGTTGCACCGAGGCTAGAAGCGTGTCCGGGGGTGGGATTCGTTTAAGAAGGCTTGTACGCGGGCGTGGATGCGTGCGATCACGGTTGGGAGAGGGGGGATGGTTTCGTCGGTTGAGTCATTGTGTTTGGTGTGTGTTCCATTCTGATTGGGTTGGATTTGTTTCAATTGGGATGTTGGCGGGAATGGCTTGAGGTGATCTTGCGGCCGGTATGGCGCTTTTGCAATCGATTCAGTCATGTTTGTGTTGGTGAGGTTGACAGGTTTCGGGGCGGGGTGTGGGTTCGGGGAGAGACAAAATCCACTGTGGGGGGTCAAGTAGACCTCGGGATATATCTACAGACTATGTACATAGTATACATAGTATACATACATAGAAAGAAATTGGAAACTTCTCGAATCTCTATCTCCCCATCCCCCCGCGTTTCTCGGGTATATCGGTGGAACTCGGTAGATTCTGATGGATCTGAGTATGGACACACGGAGTAGACATGATATTCATAAAATTTACTGGCATTGCGAAAAAATGCTTAATTGTGGCCGTGGCCGTGACAATTCATCATAAGTAGATCCCCAAACTCCCGTAACGCTCAGAATGGGGAAAAAAAGAAAGTCCAAATTAGCCCAACACCTTCATCTTCTTCTTTTTCTTCTTCTCATCACCACCAGGTTTGCGCCCCTTCTGGAAATCGCGCCAGCTACCAATTCGTTCTTCCCGTGTTTCTTCCCACTTCTTGTCATTGTCGCGCTTCCGCTTGCGCGCCTCAAGCTCTTCCTCTTCCTTGCGTTGCTCACGACCTTCCTCCTGCAAGCGCGCCTTGAGTTGTCGCCGGCGTCGCGCTTCTTCTTCCAATAGCACCTGAACCGTCTTCTTCCGCCATTCGACCTTGAACTCTTCGGTCTTCAGCTCGGGGGAGTCGAGTGTGTACTTATGTTCGCGAATCAACAGACGGCGCGCGTCGGATATACATTCATCCAGGTATTCGCGTTGCTTCTCGTCTAGAAGAGCTGTTTGCGCTTTTTTGAGTCGATCGAAGGCATCTGGAGCAGCGGGGTTCTTGGTCTTGTCGGGGTGGATCAGGAGTGAGATCTTGCGGTATTGAACTTTGATGTCTTTTTCTGTCACACCGGGTTGGAGGTCCAGGACGGCGTAGCTGCAGTGGGTTAGTGTCTGTAGAAGATATAGAGGAGCAGAAGTCCATTGTAGAGCTTGAGGAAGATTGAACTTACGAATCGAGGCTGAATGCCTTGCGAATGCGGTCGATCTCGACATCCTGTGTCGCGTGTCAGTCGGAGTATAGATGTATGCCGGGTAGAGGGCACTTACCTTGTTAAATTCGGAGGCCTCTTTCTCTAGAGACTCGAGGAAATCTTGATCATCGTCTGACATATTGCCTTGTGCGGATTCTTTGGAGGTAGACATGTTCCTGTCGCTCATGAGATTATCCTTGTCAAATATGATAAGACAGCGCGTGGGCTTATCAGCCGCTGAGTCATCACGAATATCGCACCTCGCGGGGGTTGAGCTGGCAGCACAAAGGAGCAGTCCAATTATGCCTCTCTTTTTTGGTCAAAGCTTTGATAAACTAAGTATCTAGTGGACCCAAAAGGATACCCGATACACCATATATAAGACAAGATTATGAAGGCCCATGGCGTCAAGATCTACTTTAGTTATACAGAAATGTACCTAGCTAGTTACTCACCGCTCTCCCTACCGCCTTCGTTTTTCGCTCCCAAGAAGAAAAAAAAGATGTTTTCACCGCCCGCTAACTTTCAAGATTCAACTCAAACATCATGGCGCCGCGAGCAGTGAAAGGAAAGTCCAAGATTCACCAGGACACAGGTCGAGTCTTGAAAAGAAAGCGTGGTGAGGATAGCTTAGCTACCCTCGTCAAACAGGTGGAGGACCTCGATCTCAAAGTCCCCGTCAAAAACTTCTCCGATCTCCCACTCTCCGAACCAACAGCCAAAGGCCTCTCAGCCTCTCATTTCAAAACTCTCACCGACATTCAATCGCGTGCTATCAATTATGCATTCAAGGGGCGCGATATCCTCGGTGCCGCCAAAACCGGTAGCGGAAAAACCCTCGCCTTTCTAGTACCCATCCTCGAGAATCTCTATCGCAAGAAATGGACCGAGTTGGATGGTCTCGGTGCACTCGTTCTGTCGCCTACCCGTGAATTAGCGATTCAGATCTTTGAGGTGCTTCGCAAGATCGGAAGATACCACAATTTCTCTGCTGGATTGGTTATTGGCGGAAAGAGTCTGCGCGAGGAACAAGATCGCCTGGGACGTATGAACATCCTGGTTTGCACACCTGGTCGCATGCTGCAGCATTTGGATCAGACGGCTATGTTTGAGACGAATAACCTGCAGATGCTGGTGCTGGACGAAGCCGATCGTATCATGGATATGGGTTTCCAGAAGACCGTGGATGCTATCCTCGACCATCTCCCCAAACAGCGCCAGACTATGCTGTTCAGTGCCACACAGACCAAGAAGGTCGGTGATTTGGCTCGTTTGAGTCTGCAGGAACCCGAGTATGTCTCGGTCCATGAAGCAGCCGCCTCCGCCACTCCCTCCACTCTCCAACAACACTACACCGTTACTCCACTCCCGCAGAAGCTTGATACCCTTTGGAGTTTCATTCGCAGCAACCTCAAATCTAAGACCGTCGTCTTCTTGTCATCCGGCAAGCAAGTTCGATACGTATACGAATCACTAAGACAATTGCAGCCTGGTATTTCCTTGCTCCACCTGCACGGGCGGCAGAAGCAGGGAGGACGATTGGATATCACTACAAAGTTCTCTCAAGCTCAACACGCCGTTCTTTTTGCTACCGATGTTGTTGCTCGTGGTCTGGATTTCCCCGCTGTCGATTGGGTTATTCAAATGGATTGTCCTGAAGATGCCGATACCTACATTCATCGTGTTGGACGGACAGCGCGTTACGAGCGTGTTGGTCGTGCCGTGCTCTTCCTAGACCCTAGCGAGGAGAAGGGATTCCTCAAGCAGCTTGAGCACAAGAAGGTGCCCATTGAGAAGATCAACATCAAATCAAACAAGCAGCAGAGTGTCAAGAACCAGCTGCAAAACATGTGTTTCAAGGATCCAGAGCTGAAGTATCTGGGCCAGAAAGCTTTCATCTCCTACGTCAAGTCGATTTACGTGCAAAAGGACAAGGAGACCTTCAAGATCAAGGAGCTTCCGTTAGAAGAGTATGCAGCCAGTCTGGGTCTTCCCGGTGCTCCACGTATCAAGTTCATCAAGGGTGACGATGCGAAGGAGCGCAAGAACGAGTCCTGGAGAATGGCACACATGTCCAGTGATGACAATTCAGACACAGAGAAGAAGGACGAGAAGGAGGTGCGGACACGGTACGACCGTATGTTCGAGCGACGCAACCAGGGCGTGCTGGCGGAGCACTACTCCAAGCTCATCAACGACGATGGCACGATGGTGGCTACCGATGCCCCCAAGGACGTCGGTGCAGAGATTGACGACGAGGCCGACGAGGATGCCGACTTCCTCTCAGTCAAGCGCCGATTCGCCGCAGGCGACGCAGATCTCGGCGAGAAGAGCGATTCATCCGACTCGGAGGATTCCGATGCCGAGCCCAAGACCAAAAACGCCCTGGGTGTCAAGATGGTGCACTTGGATGGCCAGGAACCACTCCTCATCGACTCGAAGCGACGCGAGAAACTGCTCAAGTCGAAGAAGAAGCTGCTCAAGTTCAAGGGCAAGGGTACGAAATTGGTCTACGACGACGAGGGCGTTGCCCACGAGGTGTACGAAATGGAAGACGAAGATATGTTCAAGGCCCGTGGCGACGCCAACGCCCAGCGGGAGAAGTTCCTCGAGAGCGAGACGGCACGCACACAGCAGGCCGATATCGAGGACAAGGAAGTTATGCGCGAGAAGCGCCGCGAGAAGAAGGAGAAGCGGAAGGCGCGCGAGCGTGCCGAGGCCGAGGCCGAGATGTCGGAGGAGGAAGGCGCTTTCTCGCATCTCCCCCATGTGCCTTTCGAGATCCCCGGCTCCGACTCAGATGCCTCGGAGCGCGACGAACCCCGACCCAGCAAGAAGCAGCGTGTTTCTTTTGCCGCGCCAGACAGCGACGACGAGCCCAAGAGCAAGAAGAGCCATGTTTCCAAGCCTATCGAAACTCTGGGAGATCTGGAGGCTTTGGCCAGTGGATTGCTTGGTTAATGTACATTTTTATGTTTTGGGTTGAGGTCTTTTATGGCGTATATTTTTCCCCAAAAATTTCTTTTCCTTTCCAAAAGCATAGTGAATATGAAGCGAATAATTTCATGTATAACTTATAACATAGATGTCTAAATAAGCTCTAAAAAGCCACCTAAATAATGTGCGCCTATAAACAAGCTATAAACAAGCTATAAAAGCTATAAATCTATAAAAAAATGTGAGGCGAATCAATTCAGTGGAGTCGAGGATTTCCTTGACACATCAACGTCGCATTTGAACGGTCAAGCCCCGTCCACTCATCGATGGCTTCAATCACGCCATCGGCCTATTAATTATATGTCGAATTTTTTCGTATTTTTTTCCCTTTTTCCTTCCATCTTTATATTCGACTGTTTACGGTGCATCTGATAGGTATCAACACTAGCACGTGTGGGTCACGCGACTTAGGGCTGAAACACCTTACAGGTAACAACAATGATTCAACCTATCCATGATATAGTACTAACATAATGTAGGATACTTCGGTATTCATATCTCCAAATCATGGCCGATATTGAGAAATACCCGGCAGCAGAGCCATCCAAGGTTCAAGCCACGGGCTATGATGTCCAAACAAACCCCATTATCAATGCAGACAAGTTGGCTCGTCGCTTGTCTGGGCGTCAGGTCCAGATGATCGCTATTGGCGGTACTATCGGCACCGGTTTATTCCTCGGAACGGGCTCGTCACTCTCCAAGGGCGGGCCTGCTTCAATGCTTATTGCATACGCGGTCTGTGGTGCCATTGTCTTTATAACTATGCTGTCTCTCGGTGAAATGGCTGCCTTTATGCCTGTTGCTGGATCTTTCTGTACTTATGCTGGGTGAGTATCGCTTGAGTTTGCTTTGAGATCGTTACTGACTTGTTTCTAGTCGCTTCGTGGATGATGCCCTTGGATTCGCATTGACATGGAATTATTGGTTCAATGATGCTGTCTCTACTGCATCGGATATCATCGCTTTACAGCTTTTGTTGCAGTATTGGACAGATAATTTCCCAGGCTGGGCAATCAGTCTAATCTTTTTGGTTGTTGTCATTGTATTGAACGTCATGTCTGTGAAGGTTTATGGCGAGGTACGTGTACATGATTTCCACTTTATTGCATCTGATCTGACCGTTCCTATCTAGATTGAATATTGGTTGAGTTTACTCAAAGTCGTCACCATCATTGTAAGTGCCATCCCTTACATATCCGCACGCCCAGCTAATCCCCTCTCTAGATCTTCATCATCCTCGGAATTGCTGTGAACTGTGGTGGAAATACAGACCACGAATACATCGGCGGCAAAAATTGGAATAAAGGCGAGGCACCCTTCGTCGGCGGAATCGGCGGCTTCGCATCAGTATTCGTCACGGCCTCCTTCGCATAGTATGTGAACCCATCTCATCATCGCTTCTATCAAATGAGCTCCATTCTAACAATCAAACAGCGGCGGCACCGAATCCATCGCCATCACAGCCGGTGAAACCAAAAGCCCCGCGAAAACAATGCCAAAAGTCGTTCGCAATGTCTTCTGGCGTATTCTTCTCTTCTACCTCCTCTCAATCCTCATCGTCGGCCTGAATGTACCATATGACTACCCAGGCCTCTCAAACGGCGACACAAAGACCAGCCCTTTCACAATCGTCTTCCAGCAAGCCGGTTCCGCTGTTGCTGGTAGCTTTATCAACGCCGTCATCATGACTTCTGTCATCTCCGCTGCGAACCATGCCCTATTCGCCGGGTCTCGACTGCTATTCACTCTCGCTGTCGAAGGGTACGCGCCCAAATTCTTCGGCCATCTCAATCGTTTCCAGGTTCCGTGGGTGGCTGTCCTTGCGACATCCGCGATCAGCGGTCTCTGTTTCGGCGCCAGTTATATCGGCGCTGGAAAGTTGTGGTCCTGGCTGCAGAATATCGTCGGCGTTTCGAACCAGCTCTCGTGGATCTGTATCGGTCTTGCTTCTCTGCGGTTCCGTTCCGCGATCCGGGCTCAGGGCATTGAGCATCTCCTTCCCTTTAAGAACTGGACTTATCCGTATGGTCCGATCTTTGCGGTTGGACTTAATATTGTTCTTGTGCTTGTTCAGGGGTGGAAGTGCTTCAGTCCGCATTTCAAGAGGGTCGACTTCGTCTCGTATTACATTGAGATTCCGATCATGATCTTCATGTTCTTGGCTTGGAAGCTGGTTAAGAGAACTAGCTTTGTTAGGAAGTCTAATATGGATTTGAGGACAGATCGTTATGATCCTTCTCAGGAGGATGGGGCTGAGGGTCTGGTTACCGAGAAGAAGACGGGTGTTTGGGGTAAAGCTCAAAGGTTTGGGCAATGGTTGTTCTTTTAGTCTTGCGTTTTGTTTATTTTCTTATGATACCTTTTGTCCAATTATTGTACCATACCCTATATATATACGAATTATGGTTTACTATTTCTCTTTCTTTTTGTTCTCTCAGGACTGTATCAAGTTACAGAGCATGAAGCAGCATTAGACTACACTCGATCTCCAGGCTACCGTATTGACAGTGACAATGAAGTAAAAAATTCGAGTCGATGAAGCTAGGTTTGCTAAAATATTCCTTCAAATAATATATATTAGCAGACACTTCAACATCTGACATGAGCAAAGACATTCTGGAACAGTAATTCATCAAAAATCAGATTTCGTTGCTTCCTCCTCTTCGGCTCGATATCACAGCCCTTGCCGTAGATATGACAGCTTTTCTCTTTGACTAAGCCGTGCCGGGGTAAGCCTGGAGCAGAGCTTGAAGCTGGTCACCCAGCGGTGTATAAGCTGTATCAATGCGGCTCGCACACGACGGAGCTGCTTCTTTGACTTCGGCTGTATAGTTCTGTATTGCCGGTTAGAACATAACCGAGAAAGATGCAATTATACATTACCTCCAAACCGTACTGCGCCTGCAGAATATATCCATGCATTTTCACAGCGTTATCTCCGTGTCCATTTTGGTCGTAGAACTCGCGTCCATCGGCCACGTGGAGGTAGCCCAGCTGTGCCGTCGCGAACTGATTGCATAGAAAGGAAATATGTCAGCGGTCTGTTCCACACAGAAATTCGGAGTTCAACTGACTTCTTCATAAGCACTGCAAATAGCGGTCTGCTCCTCCGTGGTTGCATTGAAAGTGCACTGCAAATCCTCATTGAAATGTTTGGTTTGACCCTCGAAGTTTTTGTAAACGGCCTGGGCCAGAAGCATATTTAGTTTGCCGGGGCCCTTATATCTAACATATGGGTTAGAAACTTAGGTTCAAACTTCAAACTCACCCCAGCGGGATCAATATTTTCATTTGAAGAATCAGTTACGGACTGCATCTTCTCTGCGTAATGCTGAACTGCAGTGATCGAATTGAGAACATCGTCTGCAGTGCATGTGGTTTGAGTTTGGCAGATTGCAAGGCCAACGAAGGCCAAAACGCTAGAGATTGCCACGAAGACCTTCATGATTGTTTGGATAATAGGTCAAGGATAACGTGTTTGAGGGTTATTTGTTTTCCAGATGGGATGAGAGTTGAGTGAAGAAACGGTCCGTACTGTAGCTTTATATAACAAGCCATTCCTCAACACAGGGAACCGGCTATGGTGATGAAGCGGGCGTTTCCTGGTTAAATCAAAACGCACTTTCATGGCCTTTTTTTTTGTCGTTATCCAAATCTATCTCGTATGTATGAAGTAAATATCTGAATAGTAACTATTCCACATTCTTCATCCCTATATAGTTAACCATTGATGCTCCACGGTTGATCCCGATGTCAAATTTAAGCCGAAGAAACGAGTATCCCTGTTTTTATTTCAATCTCAGGGTTCATGCGGTGTGAGGTCTTCCATTCAAAACAACGGTTTGAATCCTTGGATCTTGCTAAACAGATTAGAACTTTCACGGGAGTTGCACACCTAGGGTCAGTCTATCCAATGAAAATATATTCGCCTCCATCTGTAACGTAGGACTCGGAACTACAGGTGCTCATTTGTTTGGCCCTATTACCCCGATACTATTACTTCATATTTATTTTCCGGCAATCCCGCCCGATCTTCATCGAATGACCCTAGAGTGCAGGCTATCGTTAAGATGGTTCCTATAAGTCTTACCTTTGTATTAGCTATTTCCTTTACGCCGCAACGTTAACCTTGAAAGTAATCCCTCATTCTGCTGCAGTTTATGTCACCGACCTATGGATCTTTCCAGGATTGGCCGAGCCCACTTCGAATAAGATGTCAGTAGATCGTATATGCAAACCGAAATGATACCCTAAGAGGTTAAAATTTTGGTGAAAGATCTGGGGCTATCCACTGTAACAGCTTAGACTCAATATACTACACATAATCAATACACTTGAGGAATAAAGTGTTACCCGTAAAAAATGAAAAAAAATAAAAAATAAACTCCGATAGGGGGAATCGAACCCCCGGCTGCCGTGTGAGAGACGGCGATGTTAGCCACTACACCATATCGGACTTAGATGGAAGAATCACGCCTTTTAAGTTACATCAACACAAATCGTCAGGGCAATCAGATCAGGGCAATCTAATGAGAGATTTATGAGCAGGACACTTAGTCGCTCGTATGCGTCCCCGTGGTTCTAACCCTCTACGCCTAGTATGGTCGACTTTCTTTACTACCCTCCTCCCTTTCCCTACGATCCTCTCTTATTTACACAGCGAGGCGTTTTTCTCATTAAATCAAATTGCCGAGCTTCGTTATATATATTTCTATTAGCGCGAGTCGGGAGAATTTCGCATTCCTTCTACGTCCTACTGAAAACCTGTGCAATGTCTGAACTTAACGAACATAACTGTGGCCCAGAAGGGCTACCTTTATCTGTCAGACGGTATACCTATCGAAAAGAAGAATTTTCCCAAATTGTTGATCTTGAGCGCGAGCGCTTTCACCGTTCAATGCATCCTATTACTATGTCCAATGGAATATACAGTGATGAAAATTTAAATGCTTCAGAGGAGCCTGAAGATGTGCCTGAATATATCATTTTCTCCATTGACACGGCTACGCACGATCGTGACTTCCTAGATCCGAATATCGAACCAAATCGTTCTGTCCGCACCACATTCTATCAAAACATTAATTCACTAGCCGTCAAAATGGTGCTTCACGAACACGAAGAGCTGTCTTCTGCTTTTGATACAGCTATTGGGCGAGCATTGGGTCCAATGGGGCTCGAAAGATCAATCTACCACTACCGCAGCACAACGATTCCTCTGGCCAACGGCTCCAAGGAACCAGATGGGGCATGGGGTCCAAGAAGACCACCACTTGGAAGCCCGCGAAGACCAACCGTGGTAGTTGAAACAGCAATCGTTGAGACGCACGCAAAATTACTTCGTGATGTTGACCGGTGGCTCGATCCAATCGATGGTCTCGCGAAGGTCGTACTAGCCATAAAGGCAGACCGACGGCAGCCTAAGATTACCATCCAAAGATGGCAGTATGATAGTGCCAACGCAGAGATCGAAAATGTCCAAGCCATCGAGATAATCGAAAGCAGTGAAGGTGACGAAGTCACTGTGAACGGTGGCCCACTCCTTATCCCCTTCCATCTTCTTTTCCTCAGACCTGCAGAACCTCCTAGGGAGGGTGATATACTCATTGATGAGCAGGAGCTCAAGGAGATTGCCCAGTTAATCTGGGAAATTCAGTTCTCGGGTTGAGGTCCTCACTTTGGCGTGGCTTTGTCTATTTTTATACTTTGTCTAGTTGAGTTGTGTATTCTGCATCTTAGTTGTGCAGTTTCGCTTGTAGCCATCCTCTTAATTCTATAAGCTTCACATCACGCTGGAAATGTGAGACACCTTGAGTAACATTAAGGCGGATGCCCTGAATGTCTAAGTCTATGGTGTTTTATTACATACAATTTAAATAACTGAAGTCTTTCTAGTCCATTCGCGATAATCTACAGAAGGAATGTAACCTATTGATGAAGCCCAGAGATCGAAACCTAGTTACCACTAAAGACATTATACCATCCACCTAGCCAGTTCTCGACCAGTTAATGCATATTTTGTGTATATGTAAAGCCTATGTTGGAGTCGTAGACTGCGGTTCGCAGCTGCCAGCTAGTTTCCCACAGCCGGAATAACACTTTCCTGCATTAGTGGACTTCTCCAGCTGGAGGCGCCTTTGTTCCAGGTATTCAACACTGTAAGGATAGTCCAGATAACCATCTTTCGACAAAGACGTATAAAATGATGCTCTGTCGTATTGCTGGAGAGCAACTCCTGTCTTGAGCCGAAAGGGAAGGTCTGGGGTAGATATAAAGTATCTTCCAAATGCGATTGCAACGTTATCATGATCGGCATACACCTCATCAGCCACCTCTGGAGCAGACGTGGCATTGTATCCCCCAGCAAGTATGACTGGGAGGGATTTTCCCCAGGCACGCACGAACACTTCGTGGTGCGGGTCTGGATGCAGTGTGTCGTCACTCAACCATCGGGCGTTGGCGAGGTGCAGGTAGGCCAGACCCCCGGGGATGTCTCGTAGTTGGGAGAGAAGATACATGAATTGTGGTATGAGATCCTTCATGACCCCCATTCCAGAGTACTGGCTGAAGGGAGAGAGCTTGACTCCCACCCGATGGGCTCCCACTGATTTGGCGACTGCTTTGGTGACTTCAAGCGCAAATCGAGCGCGATTCTCGATGCTCCCACCCCATTTGTCCGTTCGCTGATTGCAAGGCCACTGAGTGAACTGGTCGATGAGGTACCCGTTTGCCCCATGTAGCTCGACCCCGTCAAACCCAGCCTCAATAGCGTTCTGCGCAGCCTGAACAAAGTCCGAGATGTACTGCTCAATTTCCGCCTCACTCAACGCACGAGGATTGGGGCTGTCCGGTGCTAGAGACACCGTACTGCTGGAGACTAGCTCATGACCGTTCGCAGAAAGTAATGCCGGATCAGCCGCTCGACCCGTCGCCCATAGTTGACAGAAGATAGAGCATCCTCTAGCATGAACCTCGGAGACCACTTCTGCCCAGGCTTGACGTTGCTTCTGGCTCCAGATTCCCGGTATATGAGGTTCACCCATGGCTTGGGGGGAGATGTCAGTTGCTTCAGTGATGAGCAAAGTACCGGGACTGGATGCCCTTTGGGCATAATAGTCTTTGACAAAAGGCAGTGGGACGGCCGAGCTATCAGCACGGTACCTTGTAGTCGGCGCCATCACTAGCCGGTGTTGAAGCTGGCAGGTTCCGATTGTAAGGGGTGCAAAAAGCTTTGAAGAGGAGGCACTGGTGTCCATATTTAGGCGTGGTTACGTGACTAGTAGGGACGATAGATGGATTGTATAGAGGTAGAAGTTGAAGAAGGAGGACTTGGCAAGTACTAGAATGTAACAAAGCCGGTTTCACGCTCCTCGAGCACTTCAGAAACCCAAGAACCATCGCAATTTGACTCGGTGACCTATGTGTCTAGAAAAATAGAGACCTTGGATCGCCTATCATGCGGAACGGTTGTCGCATGCTCCCATGCATAGATCACCTCGATACTCAGACGAAGTTAGTTCGAAGCGCAGTCACCTCTGATAGAGAACAATGCTCCCCCTTGCCGACAGCCTTGCAGATAGATCTACAGGGAATCAGACACGTAGTCTTGCAGACCGCCTTGTAAGTCGATGTAATTCGTAAGGTAAGTGTAGCGAGTTAGGTGGAGAGGCAAGAGCCGGTGGCAGCATCCATAACCAATATGACCTGCCATGTAGGGCTCTTTGTTCTTCGCTTTCTATAGTATTTGCTCGGATATCACTTCCTATCAATACTCAAAATGACAATTTTGGTTACCGGAGGCCGTGGCAAGACCGCAACCCGTTTGGGCGCACTTCTGGACAAGAACAAGAACCCCTTCATCGTGGCCACCACCTCCACCTCGCCCATCGGCCAGTATAATACAGTGAACTTTGACTGGCTCAAGCCAAAAACCTGGAAGAATGCCTTTGATTTGACAGTTTCAGGTGGCCTTGAGCCTGTGTCCGCCGTGTACCTAGTCGGGGCGCACAGTGCCGAATTCGTCAAGCCCATGTTGGAGTTTATCGATTTTGCGCACTCGAAGGGAGTTAATCGGTTTGTCCTCCTCAGCGCTTCCAACACCGAGAAAGGCGATCCGATGATGGGGGAGGCCCATGCCCATCTCGACTCGATTGCCGATGTGCAATACGTGGTCCTACGCCCGACCTGGTTTATGGGTAAGTAGATGGAAGCGGTAGCCCCCAAGGAAACTCCAATGAAGCTCAAGGCTAATAAAAAAACCACATGCTAGAGAGCCACCTGGAGGATCCTCATCTGAGCTGGATCAAAGACGAGAACAAGATCTATTCCGCCACGGGGCAAGGGAAAATTCCCTTTATTTCAGTGGATGACATCGCGCGAGTTGCCTACAGTGCGTTGACCAACTGGAGAACTGGAAAGGCGCAAGAATATCTGGTATTGGGGCCTGATCTCCTCTCCTATGGCCAGGTACGTCGCACGGTCGCTTTTGGCCTGTTTTACAACCTTCCTTCATTGACGAATCTACGTTAGGTGGCGGAGATCCTCAGCGAGCTCCTCGGCCGACAGATCATACACGTGTCCTTGGATGCACAAGAAATGGTCAAGATCCTTGTGGGTGTAACCGGATTTCCCCCGGAGTTTGCGTCGATGTTGGCCTCGATGGAGACAGCCGTCGCAGCTGGTTCGGAAGAACGCCACAGCCAGGACGTCGAGAGGGTGACTGGCGTGGTGCCACAGAGTTTCGTGAACTTTGCACGGGAGAACAGGTCTCACTGGATCTCCAATTGACGAAACTATGATGGATATTCACGGGGCTTTTCCTCGTGGTTTCTTCTGAAGTCAACATCAAGCAGTAGAAATAATTAGGCCAAGTACCTAGCGGCCCTTGAGGCTGAAAATCACGCTGAGAAATGAAACCAACTGTCTAAACGTTCAATTACAAAACAAACCAAAGGAAAATATTTGTGTCTTCGCGCCATCTTTGGGTCGTTGTGATGTCAAAGGGCAAACTGCGCGATTAGATGGGCAGTACTCTCGCCATCTGTGGTGGCCCTTACCAGTAAGAGGGTTGCTGCCCGCAAAAATAGTTGCCTTGCCGACAAGGCCTGACCTCCGGGCCATCCCAAACCTATATCATATAGTAAGATAACTTATAATCATGCAGATATGATATAGAACTGCCTTAGACATAGAAGTTCTTACCCATATCCATGATACACCAGTCACCTGAAACCGAAATGCCTCAAGTTTGAACATCCTCGAAACTAAGTAGTAGTCTCACTGACTCGTTGGAGCGGGAACCGGGTAGAGTTGAGGTGACAGCACGCATGCGGCGCCACGGTAAGGGGAGAGATGTCGGTCTGTCCAATGAGGCTCGGGTTGGTCATGCGGGACGATCCTTTGTCCAGTATATACGTGACCCTGCTGTCCTGGAACCCTTTCAGCTGGCCTTCCTGACGCCACATGCTTTCTGCTGGAATGATTTTGAGAAGCATCGCATTCTCTTCCTGGAGTTGGCGGTTCAAGAGTCAGGAAGTAGCGGTGTGCTTTGAAGCTGGTCCTCGTCACCTACACCTATGCCACGTTTGGTATGCGCATACCGCTTCAGCTGCCATTCGTTCTCTCCTTACACATACCTTGGGCCTAATAATCAACTGGTGGTTCTCCTTGGATTCAGATAGACATGGCATCAACAGGAGATCACGCTGTCCAGTGGCGACTTATAAGTAGCGGGCAGTCGATCATCCTCCACATTTTCCACCCTCGATAACGCTTTTTTCGATATCAAATACGTGGACCTCGCAAGTGAAGCCACAAATTGATCTCGAATTCCACCATGACCGTGACACAACCTACCACACCCAAGCTACGTCGGCTGCCAAGGACCGCGGGAGCCGACACGATCTTCACCACGCTCCAAGAAGACGGGATCGTTATCATCGAAGACTTCATGAGTGCGGAGAATGTGGCCCAATTCAACGCCGAGATTGACCCGCACTTGAAGAAATGGGAGCTCGGACAGTTCAAGTCCTACCAGGAGGACTACCTATCCGGCATGAGACAGCTGAGCAGTCTCTCACTCTTCAACAAGGTCTTCTGAGACGACATGGTGAACGAACCAATGCTCCATGACATCTGCAAGAAGGCCTTCGGGCCCGAATGTGGGGATTGCTGGCTCACCACCTCATCCGTACTAGAGACGGAGCCCGGATACGGGGGTCAAGAACTGCACCGTGAATATGAGGGAATTCCCATCTGCACGAAATTAGGCAAACAGAGTCCCGAATCCATGCTGAACTTCACCGCGCTCACCGACTTCACAGCCGAAAATGGCGCCATTCGTGTCCTCCCCGGCAGCCACCCCTGGGACGATTTCAGTGCCCCTCCTCCCCCTGCCGACACGGCCATTCCGGCCGCCATGAACCCCGGCGATGCCGTCCTTCTCACCGGGAAGACCCTATATGGAGCAGGCAAGAACAACACGACCGACTTCCTCCGCAGAGGCTTTCCCCTCATCATGCAGTCTTGTCAGTTCACTCAGATGGAGGCGCCTGTAGGCTGTCGCCCTACCACACCCTCTCGTCGAGACTATGACCCCGCTCGCTCAGAAGATGGTCGGGTGGCGCACCGTTTCTGCTAACGGAGTTAATATCTGGACATACGATCTGAAGGATCTTGCGACTGGGATTCAATTGAAGAACGATCAGCCTGCTAAGGCTACTTGAGGGCTTTGCATCCTTGTATGGAGATGGGGAAACATTCCAACCTCGCCAATGTTACCTGCTAACCAGCCTCGGCCTGTCCTGAGACCGTGAGAGATCTTGGTATAAACCTTAGCTTTTTGAAAATGATTATACAAGTGATGTATCAGAGTAAAGAAGCCAAGTAGGTAGTGTCTCTATGTTACAGGCTTTCCTTTCGCTAAAATACCCACCTGTGGTTGGTGCCAATCCTAAGGCAAACACGAGCTTGCCTCCTTTCACACCCCTCCAACTTCAGGCATTGATATCTTCGTCTAGTCTTTGAGCGAAATTCACGTAAACCTCTTTTTGGACTGATAATCTTTGTTATCCTTAGCTAAAATGCGCCCAAAACGCCGCAACGATTTTGTGATAGCCATTATCTGTGCACTTTTTCGATGAAACTAGACCTCCGCAAAGCCCATAAAGCCTGAGGCCCAACCCAACCCACTAAATGGGTTGGGATTTGGGCCTATCCTCGGGCCCACGATGGGGGCCCAAAGCCTATAATAAGCACCAAACAATACAAACATTCTAAGAAACGTGACTTTTTTAATTACCTTATGCTTAGACCCCGTTTTTAGCGCTTAGATTAGGGTAATATTTTATTATTTTAATTAATACGCTATTGATAACTAGCTAAATTTATATATTACGACCGGTTGGGCAGATTCTACGGCAAACAGCCCGGGGACTACGGGCGACTATCATGATCGGGTACTTAGTATTACACTTAGTGGCGCCAAAGCCCGTCACTCAGCGGGAAAATATGACAGCGGTCATCAGAAACTATGGAGATGACATTGTGCTGACAGCGGAACGGGAATCCTACACTTGCCTAATGGTTTGTATGAAACAGCCTTGGCTGAACTAATTCGATCCTGATATTACAAAATTTGCCAAATGATGACTTGATTGGCTTTTCATATAAAGAATATGACGGGAGATTGGTAGCTAACTCATCAAACTTCCCATTCTCAGGCGAAAATTTAGCACAAGTAAACAAGCTGGCCGTCGATGTTGGCGATGTGTGTAGCCAGATCAATTTCGCTGGGTACAAAATCACCAGAGGAGTTCCTGAGATCAGAATGGAGGACAGGCGTTTTATCTGGTCCCTGGGTTGCAAGGGTAGTATTCCGTGCATCATGGCTGAAATTTCTCCCACCCCAACTGAAATGACCTAAAAAAAAAGGCGGTTGGTCAAGTGTAATGTGGTCTACAACTAACTTGTCTCACCATTTTCATTTCCAAGACATTCATCGAGAGGGATATAGTCGGCCAGACCACTACCCTCATCGTTGTTGCAAATTGCAGACAAAAACGTGCAACCGGGCTCGTCTCTCAGACGAATATCACATGCACTGTGGTGGAAAGACATGGTTAATATGATTTGACGTTTTGAAAGAAATTCTGACAAGAGTTGAAAAAAGAACACTTCGGTCGATTATATATGTGGAGTATCTTCAGCTTGGTGGCAAATTTTTGGTCGTTGTGATCGTATCTATGGAGTAAGTAATGACATGGAGATATGGGGGGCTATCCAAATAGATATTGTTTTTTAACGGTCGAATCACTCAGATATGATTATAATTGGATTAACCTAGTTGACTCATTGATCAACCTTGGAATCTAGCAATCCATGTCACATGTGGTCATTACTAACATCCTGCGCAGCGGTATACCATTTCTAGTAAATATGCCTAATGATTCATCTGGTTATTGACCGCTACAATTTAATGATTATTTATCCTAAAATGACACTTTTGGTCTACAAAGTGAGATATTCGATGAGCTGCGTCGGCAGGATCTTGCTTTCCTAGATTCTTAGTATGTCGAAATCCCGACATAGGGTTCTTGCGATCTGCATTTGGTTTCCGGATGTTGATCAGTTGGGGGTCAACTCGGAAGTCTAGATAACTGCGAGTATTCGCTTCTCGATACTCCCAAGAAGTAAAGCGACAAAATCATTAGACAAAGAACCCTCCTCACTGCTAACATGAATGACAGTGGCGGCATCGCGAACACCAGCAACGTTGAAAACCAGATTCGGCCCGTAACCCGCTTTAACAGCACCCGCCGAAAATTCCATGTTGGAAATAATCCATGGTCTGGCCGACCGGTTATCAAAAGCCCCTAGGTTGGATACGGCAAATGAATTTTTCTGCACAATCTTCAGACCCGGCAAGAGTTGAGAAATGTATTCTTCTTCATCGTCCCCGATCAAGTCGATCGACAGCCAGGCTTTCATCCACGACCGTTTGTGGTTCAGATCATTGACCACATGAGCCCTATGTTTACGTGCCAGTTCCCATAACAAATCCGAGTTAACTGGAACAGGGTCTATTGAGCCTGTGCTTTGACCTGCTTGATGAAATGTGTGTAGCCAGTCAAAACTCGAAATGATGGACACTGCTGTGCTTATAGTTTTATCCCTGTCCTGGTTGAGAAGATAAGGCCGGACGTCGATGCCAGTTACGGAATGGCTGAATTTGGCTTTGGGGTAGAAATCAGCTGACAGGCTCACCTTGATGAGCGTGTGTAAGAGGCTGGTAAATGAGGTCTGGTGCTCGCGACAGGCTTGAAGACATTTGCTCATCGTGTCAGCTTCCAGGCAGAGCGTGTCAATCTTTGTAACGACTAAATTGTCTTCTTTTTTTGGTTCACCGAAGGCCAAATCCCGTTGCTGATATCTAGCATCGTTGAAGAAGAGATCAGTTCCCCGGTAGAAAAATTGAATGCACCAGAAACGGATGTAACTCATGATGGCAAAAAGAATCGATGGACCCGTTCCATATCGTTTGACTGGATCAACCTCAGGAAATCCCTTCACCTCTGTGGTCAATTCAATGATAGATGAGCCGTTGTGGCATTGATTTGGCGAGTTGAGTGCCTCTAGCAGGCTCTCGAAGATGAAAGTGCTCCCGCGTCCATCGGTGATAAAGTGGTCAAACACAAAGATAGCATGCTTTCCATTCACCACCACGAGCCTCCATGGCGGCTTTTTCGATGAATCAAACCATACACCATGATATCGCTCGATTGTTGTAGTCAAGCCTGCCTTTCCCTCTTCCGTCGGAATTTCCAGGAATTCCACATGATCATCGAGATTGATGTGGGATAAGATGCCCGAGAAGGACCGGTGCTGAGCTTTCTTTTTCTTAGATTGGCCATAGAAGGAAATCATGCCCAGCTCGGGATATTCTTGCACGACCTTTCGAAGGGCCGGGTAAACCACTGCTTTGGATAGCACCGCTCCCTCGGCCTCGACATTGGTGTAGGATGCCACACGAATCACATTAGATTGGAGCCCGAACCGGGTCAGCAAACCAAATTGTCTTTGGTATCGATCTTGAATATGTTAATTCACAGCGCGAAGCAACGAGATAGGCGTGCTCTTACCGGCAGGTTGTGTGTGTATGAAGTTCATCGTATCTGTCAACGGTCTATTTTTTGTTTCCATGACGAATCTATCATCATTTCTCCAGGCTAAGTAATTTTGCCGACGATAGTTCCAACTTTTTATATGTGAAAAGGCGGTCACCACTAGTGCTTACACTCCTTGAGGCTAACAAGGCTATCCATGAATTCTATTGGCTCTTTACAGCACTACATGAAAAGCGCATCAGGCATCCATCCCAGTGTTAAAATACTTCAGCCTCGGTTTTTGGCGCTCATGTCCCAGGTGAACATACAGTTTGGGCCTGCAATGGAATCTCCTTGACTGTCGGGATCTTTAGCAAAAGCGGTGTCTGGTTTCTCTATCCTCAATATATTACGTCATATACACATGTCCCGAGGTCAGTATATCTTTTTGCTAAATTCAACATTCTTAAACATCTAATCAAAATTTGTTGGGCCATTTCAACATTTCAAATTTATATATATATATTTCTCTATATCTACTTTTTTTCTCTGTTTATTATATATTATCTAAGCTATCATGATTGGAACATCTACTGCCGAGTACTTCTTTATTCGGATATGCATCCTATTTCTTCATAATATCGCACCAATCAGTACTTTATACATCATTCAGTTACTGGTCGTTCAATTCTTTCATCTGCCAACTTATCTCGAACGCATACCCTACGCTGTCCACATTTGGCTCATTGCAGAGGCAGCATTCTTCACAACTGTCTACATACCACTTAAATACGCGCTCCGCCATTCTTCTATCTACCACAGATCTTTGCCTGCGGAATTCAGAGAGAATTTGTTTAGGAACTGCAATAAGAATGTGCCAAATCTGGAGAAATACCTCAGCCAGTGGCTTATGGTCTCGGAAGCTGAATGTATAAAGCGTGAAAATGTGAAAGACTTTATTAGATGGTCATTATTCGGACCTGAACATACCCGGGAGCAAGACCAGGAGGATGAGGGGGAAATCGAGGCCTACACAACAGAAATTGAGAAACTGATGGGACGAAAGTTGTCACCAGGAAGGATAGATGTGAAGGGCCTAGGACGACTTTTAAATGAAGCAGGCGGTTCACATCGAAGTCTACTATGGTATAGTGTTAGTTATCTCTATCTCTCTATGTGTGACCCAGCTCTTTCAAACTGACATTCTAATTCGCTTAGTGCGTCTTTGTGGTTGACACAATAACGTACTGCAAGATGTTATACAATGGATTCCACTTCTATCGCAATTCGCTCTCGCGATTCTTTACCGTTTTTCCATTTCGCCCTCTTGCGACACTCACGGCCTACCGATCACCGGCGCGGCACCTTACATACTGGCATCGACGGCATACATCCAAGAAACGACTACCCGTACTATTCATACATGGTATCGGGATTGGCTTGTACCCTTACACAAGCTTCCTCCGAGACCTGAACAGGCAACTAGAGACGGACGCAGCCGATGGTGAGGTGGGAATAATCGCACTTGAAATCATGCCGGTGAGCTCTCGGATAACGTATCCTGCTCTCGACAAAGAGGTGATGCTCTATGAGATCCAGGAGATCATGCGGTATCACGGATGGAGCAAATTCGTGCTTGTGTCTCATTCTTATGGTTCCATCATCGCTGCACATCTTCTCAAGTCTGATCAGTTTGCTTCGCTCATCGGGCCTACGGTCTTTATCGATCCGGTATCATTCCTTCTCCACCTGCCTGACGTGGCATACAACTTCATAGCCCGTCAGCCAGCACGAGCCAATGAATACCAGCTATGGTATTTCGGAAGTAAAGACATCGGAGTTGCGCATACTTTGGCAAGAAGATTCTCGTGGATTGACAACATCATTTGGAAGGAGGACCTTGGGGTGAAGACAGAAATCCAAAAGGGTAGAAATGTGACAGTTGTTTTAAGTGGTAAGGATTTGATTGTGGACACCGAAACAGTGGGGCAGTATTTGATGGGTTCATCAGAAACAATTGACAAAAAGGCATGGAAAATCAGGCCCTGGATCGGGTCCGGACTTGAGCTGCTGTGGTTTGAGCAGTTGGATCATGCTCAGGTTTTCGATTCCGAGAATACCAGGCGGCCAGTCATCAGGACGATCTCTACATATTCACAAGGCTGAGAACTGTTCGAGTGATATATTCTAATAATTATGTACATACCCAAAGCATTTCCCTTTCCAAATTTGGAATATCAAGAGGAAATTTAGTAATCAGGCCAGAATCAGGCATTAAGGCATCAATTTGTCAGGCATCTGACCCCTGGCGTCCATACTTCGGAAAACGAGGGGCAAGGTTTTCTGCCAATACTACCCGACTCCTCTCTAACAAATCTATCCCACCAACCTTTCCCTCTCTTCACACCTTATCTTGTCTTTTTTGCTCAAAATGGATGCCAAAATCGACACCAAAATGGACGCTGCAGCAAAAGCGCGGTTTGATCTCATCAGCGACAACCTCGCTGAGGTTCTGAACCCAGAATTGATTGAGACCATTCTGGCAGAGGGCCGCAACCCGCGTATCTACTGGGGTGAGTCATTGCGAAGAGTCCCAGCCCTGGAGATGTGGGACTACTTTGACTTGATTGAGCTAACCTTTTTTTTCCCCCTCTCCAGGAACCGCTACCACGGGAAGGCCACATGTGGGATACTTCCTTGCTGCACTCAAAATCGCCCAATTACTCCGCGCGTCTTGCGATGTGGTCGTCCTGCTGGCCGATATTCACAGCTTCCTCGATAACTTGAAGGCACCCCTTGAACTTGTAGAGAACCGTGCCAAATACTACAGCAAGATTATTACGGCTATCCTTCAGTCTGTCGGCGTGCCAACCGATAAGCTGGAGTTCGTCCTCGGCAGCTCCTACCAAAAGAGTCCCGAATATGTCATGGATGTGTACCGTATGGCAAGCTTGGTTTCGGAAACGGATGCGAAACGCGCTGGAGCAGAAATCGTTAAGCAGACTAGCAATGCTCCTTTGAGTGGTCTTCTGTACCCTATCCTTCAGGTACTAGATGAAGAGCATCTGAACGTTGATTGTCAGCTCGGTGGGATGGACCAGAGAAAGCTCTTCACGGCAGCTATCGAATGGCTGCCAAAATTGGGTTACCGGAAGGTATGACTGGTGCTAATCTATACAAAAGTTTCTTATAGGCTAACAAATTCTGTCTACCTAGCGCGCACATCTTATCAATCCTATGATTAGTGGATTGAAGGGTGCTAAAATGAGCTCTAGTATTGAAGGTGAATCTTACTTTGATCTCAGGTTGACTATCGACACTAACATAAAACAGATAGCAAGATTGATCTTCTAGACTCAGCCGAAAACATCTCGAAAAAGATCCGGAAGGCGGAAGCAGCCCCGAAGATCGTGGAAGACAACGGAGTTATTGCTCTCGTTGAATATGTCCTACTGCCTGCAGCTGCTCTTAAGGGCCGAAAGGAATTCCAAGTCGAGCGAAGAGATCAGGATCCATTGATCTACGTTGACATCAAGCAACTTAAAGAAGACTACCAAAACGATATTGTATGCTTTGTCTCTTTAATATTCGAGGACTTATCAGCTAACGCAAACTTATAGTTAACGCCGCAACTTCTTAAACCTGCCGTCTCGGCCGGTCTTGCCAATCTTATGGCACCGATACAGGCCGCTTACCAAGCCGACGCAGAATGGCAGGAGATCACCTTAAAGGCTTACCCGCCCCCCGTTGTCGAAAAGAAACAGAAGAAGGTCAAGGACAGGGGATCTCGCTTCCCCGGCGCCAAGGCCAATGGCCCTGAAAGTCAATAAATTGGCTGGAAACAAAGTTTATCCTCCATATCATTTTCTTACCGCTTTTTTTTACCTGAGATCATAGCACTGCAATTACATTGAAGAACATACGCTGCATGCGGTCTTTCCCCGCAGTTTTCTCACTACATCCGAATATAAGTTCTGCCAGCCATACTTGATTCAATACTCACATTGCGACACCATATCATTTGTTGACAGCTTATATATTACTCAGGAAACGAGTAGGCGGGGGGAGTGGACCAAAGTAGTGTAACTTCTGGCTATTCAAGAGTAGTCTTACGCATGATCCTTGAGGATAGAAACCACCACTGACTTGTGATGGTGCACACCGGGGAGGATCTTATGCCAGTATTGCCAAACTAAAAGTGTACCAATGGTTGTTGGGATGGCAAACACCCAATAAAGCCAAAACTTATCTGACATGCCCCAGCCATTGTCCCCACCACATTGAAAGAAGGACATACTGAAGATAGACGAGATGAAGGTAGGCGGGAGAAATGCCAACGTAACAAACGCAATCGTCTTCATGGTTGAATTGTCAATCTGCGCGGCACGACCTATTTCCACGGAGATTCCCGCATTAGCCTGCGCGACAGTGTTGAACGCTAGCTGGATCTCGTTCTGGAGTCGCTTCTCGTTAGAGATTGAACGGAAGCGTAGATTTGCAGTGTAACCTCGGAAAAATTCGATTTGATTGCGGATATCTTCGTCTGCGCCCAAGTACGAATCGGTTTGGGATGCGATGTAGAGATCATAGTGCTTCAGAATAGTCTCGATATTCTGTACCGAGACATCTAGGTTCTCGCTAACATGTATAGCATGTCGGGCAATGTCATGCAGTCTTCGGTACTCAGGTCTTGGGGCTTTGCTTGGAATGAACTCCTTTTCAATATCCCTCACTTGGTCCCGGATAGCCCAAACAGCGGGTTCTTCGAGACAGGCTAATACCTCTAGCACGCACGGGTAAGGCCAGAATGGAACGTTCAACTGAGAAATAGTTGTTTTTGATAGCGACTGGAGTACTGATTCCCGGAGGGGTGGTGTCGGATCGAAAAGGAGCAGGAATGTTTGTTTAGTGGAAGAAACCCATCGAGTGAAGACGTTTAGCTTGGTCCACTCGTAATGAACATTGCTTCGGGTGTATTTAGTCTCAAAGTATGCCCATGTATCTATAATATATCGTTAGAGAAGCGTACGGTTCAGGTAGGTGTTGCTTACTGAAGCCTGTAACAATCCCTGCTTGGCGGGTCGTTTCACAACCAAAATATCCGTTAGATTTCATGAAGGAATCCGACCACCATCTCTCGGGCATTTGAAATGCTTGTATGAATGCATTACGGCATCTTTGGCATGTACGAATATTGTTTGCGCTTGCGACTCTGTTGGCATTAGTAGTGTAAATAGAGTCAATGGAAGTGTGACTCGACTAACATGACACATATTTGACTTTCCTCAAAAGTGGCTAATAGGCTAGAAGTATGATTTGAGCTCTGGAGATCTCTAGGATAAGCTTGACTCGTTCGCCAAGATCCACCTAAAGAATCAGTCAGCGTGATCTTCCGAGCTTCGAAAAGGGGCCCAACCTTGTTCCCACTGTGACACTACTAGGCTTGGGCATGATTGGCAACTAGTTTCACTCATGGCAGTATATTTTGGCAGGAGAATGGTGCTTTAAGGGGAGATTCGCAATATGGAACACAATACTCGGAGGATAACCTCAGCTGAGCTAGACTAGATCATCATTGGGCCACGAACTCGCATCTAATGCAGCTAGTCTCTTGGCATCTGCACACAGCCCCGATTTTTACAAAGTAGGTTGCGGCTGTAACATCCTATTCTTTATCTACTTGGACCAAACCCTCATCTGAGAACATAGCGGGGGGTTTAATGCCTGACTTTTGAGGGTTGATGCCTGAGGCACCAATACACTACCACAACAGGTTCATGCACAATTATACAATCAGTCATAGAAAGGAAAAGTTCAGATATGTCATAGTATCTAAGAATTAGTTAGTTATCACTCATATATATATATATATCTACTCTTATATAGCAGTATTAAATAGTCGTCTAGTTTAAGGGCCACTTATCTACTATGGAGTTCCCTTTAGGACTAGTCTTGACCCTTCTGGTTTAGCGCGTGTCTTTCCATTTTATATAGCCCTAGAGGTATATTTGCGGAGATACCGCCAATTCCATGAACTTTCTCTCGAATTATGCGTACACATTGTATAGCGGTCATGCTCATTTCAACCTATCTTGCATAGGTTTAGTCCAATCCTCCTTGCTGGGAATAATTTTCTCCTGAGCCAGATGATCAAACACCTGGAAATACCCATACGCAACCGGGTACTCCTCCGTGAAACCAGCATTCCGGATCTTATCTAAGCTCATCTCACGGTTGCGACCCAGAAAGCTGAAGCCTGCTGAAAGGAAAATCCAAGTCGCCTCGGAAATCTCACGAGGGCGCAGACCGTACTCTGCGCACATCTTCTTGTAGTCGTCCTGGTGTGCGAACCACCACTTGTCGATGTCCTTCCAGCCCTTGTCCTCGGGACTTGCGCCTTCAGCATTGAGACCAAAGTATTCGCACATCTTGGGCCATACGAGGGTCCAAGATTCGGGCGTGGCGTTGTCGGCCGTGTTAAATGCCTCTCCGTGAGCCTGGTCCGGCTTCTCAATAGATAGGTAGAGCTCCGAACGGGCGATGATATCCTGTGAGGATGATGTATACGTGTGGATGTAGTTTGCGTAGGGTGCTGGGAAGACAACAGTGGCCCCCGGGCCGTTCAAATATCGGTATAACATCAAGTATAGCGCGAGAGGCTCGACGTATGTCATGCTTGTGGGAATGGGAACGTGGCCTGGACACCGGCAATGTCAGCATAGTCAAACCCAGGAAATATGGATACGCACCGACGATCTGGTCTGGTCGAACCTCGCACCATTTCCAAGATTTGCCCTTATTGGCTTCCTTGATCAGATCAACTTGCGCATAGTAGAAGATTTCATCTCCCCAGGGCGAAGGAATACGCGGATTGTCCTCGCGCAAGGGAGGATTGATCTCAATGTGTTCTTGGAAGCGAAACACAGCAACTCCATAATTCTGCGGCAGATAAGCTACATAGAGCAGTTGGCTGGTATTAGATTGGTACATACGTTTGTTCCAGTTTGAAGCACGAAGAACTTCATATTCTTGCACAGCCGGTCGACAGCGTGCACGGCGTTATAGGTCATTCCTTCATTGATATTACGGATAGCCATCACATCCATGGAATATGCAGTTGCATTGGAGTAGGCTGTTATAGTTAGATACCGACCGTTTGCATGTGATTCCTTTACTCACCAAGATAATACACGTGGGTGACATCTTCCAGATTGGGAACCTTCTCTTGCAACTGGGACAGCACTTCATCAAGATCTCCCCGCAAATTCACTCCGTGATGCAACTCCAATCGAGGGTCATGCGGTAAGCCACTTTTCTCAATAGGCAACGGCCTATTCGTCAAGCCGATTACTCTATCAAAGGTGCTAGGCGTGGGGTATGAGAGAGCGCATTTGGTGACCGCCCAGCCAGAGATACCGCTGGCCCCAAAGACCAATGCAACATTCTTCGATTCAGCCATTATGTCCTTGACTTCGAGGCAATAGGGGGTACAGGCTCCTTGAGCTTAATCGACAGGGGGCCCATATTTAAGAGCGTCCTCGGCCCGTCTCCTCGCTAGCGTCATTGACCAATTTGGAGTAATACCAAGTGGAAAACTGGCCAGACGTTGCCGTCAAAAGTTTGGCCCCTCCCGCCAAGAGACTAATCATTTCCATCGGTGTTTCAAGACAGGTCGCTTACGGCAATTGTGCCAGGGGTCTGAACCGAAGCGGAGCTCGCGGCGATGGCATCAAGTTTCTCGGAGCTAGATCCTAAATAGCTTAGACGCCAGGCAGTGAATTCATGTCGCCAATCCCGACCGGCCCCTCCAGACTTTAGGGGCGATATTATTGCTAGTGCCTTAATCCCATGCTCAAAGCAACCCGCTACGACAGAAACCGGTCCCGCCTCAGTACATTTGACTCCAGGAACTTGTTTCTGGTCTTCCCTTGTCAAATTACTAGGTGTATTGGCCATTCAATTTTTCATAGGACGAAGCCTTTGCACATACTTCTTTGAATCTACTGTTGGCAGACCAAGTCCTCTGTGGCAACACCTCAGTCAAACGGCCGTTCGGCCGTTCTTCGTTATTAGCTGCTAGCTGAATCCCCCGGCCAAAAGTCGACAAGGATGTAGATTGCTTCTGCCGTCTGCGAGGCATTCTGCTCTAGATTCTGACATCTAGATTTTGACAAATTGATTTACATGGGGCCGAATACTTAGCCTGTTGACGCCCCCCAACACTCGCTTCTTGTCACTTCACGTGTCGAAGATGGATGTCGCCCAGAATACGGCACCCCCAGGCGATATTTCCGAGAATCGACATGCGGCTATCTTTGGCGTGGGAATTGGGTTCATCGCATTTGACTCCATTATCATTGCGCTGCGCATCTATGTACGTGCTTTTATGCTGCGCGCTCTGGGGATGGATGATAGTAAGTCAATGAAATCCAATTCGAGAGCAAAATTAACAAATCTAGTTCTGATGATAATTGGCGCAGTAAGCGACTTCCAACCATACAGGAAATGATCTCTACTCAATCGCAATCAGATACTCAATTTCGGATTATCAATAACGATTATGATCGGATCCAACTACGGAATCGGAAAACACCCGCTTGCCATTTCGGAAAGTGACACCGTGCCTATGCTGAAGGTATGCACCCATTCTCGTCCATGCACCATTTCTGACCGTTGCTAGTGTATTTGGGTTACGCGTATCCTCTACACAGTTTCTATGGGGCTGGTTAAAATGTCCTTACTGTGGTTTTATCTCCGTCTCGATCCCCGCAAATATATGCGCTGGGCCGTCTTCTTCGTCATGTTCTTCAACATCGGATTATCTCTTGCAAGTTTCATCGGCGCGCTAGCGGGCTGCAGTCCTCCATCTTTGTTCTGGACTAATCCAACATCGAGCGGCTGTATGCCCGTGGGAGTACAGCAACGCTTCTATGAGGTCAATGGCATCTTGAATATCGTAACGGATATCTTGACATATCTACTCCCAGTTCCAATGCTCTATGGGCTGCAGTTGACTTGGCGCAAAAAGGGGGCTATCCTGGGGATATTTGGGCTGGGTATTTTGTCCATTGCTGGTACGTATTAGCTTCAATGCATCTAGTGGATCCTTACTGATATATTGTTATTAGCGGCCTGCGTTCGCTATGACTTTGTCACGAAACTATCCTCGGCCAAAGAAGAGTATTATCTTCTCTTGGCTGACTCCCTTAACTGGTGCACGATTGAGGCTTACGTTGGTATGTATCTCCCATCCCGATGGGACATCACCTCTAATTGTTCGTCTATAGCCATCTTCTGTGGTTGCGCTCCATCCCTCTCCGTCCTGATCAAAGCCCACGCCCCATCTATATTTGGTTCCAGTGCTGCCAAATACCCAAGTAGCGCGCAGTCGCCTGGAGCAAGCTATTTGCAGCGACGGAGCCCTCTAAGGAGTAGTCGGCGTCGGGGACTGGACGATACGACACTGGGTAGTCAGGATGCTATTGTTACTGTCAGCAATCCTGATCAGGATCAGGACGGGATCATGATGAAGACGGATATAAATATGGGTGTGGCGACACGGAAGTCGACGGAGGATATGACTTATAAGGAGTATTATGATTCTGCGAGGCCGAAATAATTTTATGTTATGTGAATATCGAGGTCATTGCCTCTGGTCTCTGGTAGTATTCTCAGTGCAGAGAGAAATTCTGTTTGCTTTTTTGGCATTTTTCTTCCCCCGCTTTTCCACGACTTTTGCCTTTCGGCGCAATTGGACTATTCCGACCTTTACAGACCAGCCCATTCATTTGACTCTTGAAACTAGATACTTCCCACATCTTCTATATTGCCGATTTCCTTTTCGAACCTATTTGCCTTCGCCCAGATGAGCCACATAACCTCACCTCCCAGGATACTTTCGATGGAGGTATCGAGCAGGGATGACAGCGAGTACAGAATTTTGATTGGAAGCCGGGTCAGATATTTAATCATCAGCGTTGGCACATTCGAACGGTCAACGCTTTCAATGCCCCTCAGCTCGTTGCCCAAAGTTCCTGAAGATGACACCTGGAATATGGCGTACGTCAGTCGAGATCCGTCGAGCGGCAGGGTCGCGATAGATCTACAGCACCGAACCTTTACTGGTATAACAGATCTTTGGCATCCTGTGTCGGTTGACTGTCTCGAGTTGAAAAAAATCAAGCAGTTGACCGCTACCGCATACGAGGCAACTTATCCCTATGACGGATCATCAGCTACTACGAGATCGCCGGTTGTTATTGCAAAAGTCGCACGGTTCGAGTGGGAGATACCTCGTTTATCGAGGGAGACCCTCGTGTATAGAAGCTTGGAAAACACAGGTCTAGCCCCACGTTTTATTGGCCATGTCCACGAGCATGGCCGTGTAATTGGGTTTATACTAGAAAAGCTCCAAGGGCGTGAAGCAAACATCAACGATCTTTCGTCTTGTCAGTCTGCCCTCCAGCGACTACATGACATTGGAATCCACCATGGTGACGTCAACAGATACAATTTCATTGTTCAAGACGATACGGTGCTACTGATCGATTTCGAGAAAAGTCAACTTCATGATAGCACTACTACATGTATGCAAGTTGAGATGGATAGTCTACGTGATCAATTGATGGAGGACACGGGACGCGGTGCAGGTTTAGCTCGGTAGAGTCAGTGTGGTTGAAATAGCAGTAAGGTCTACTTGGGCAAATTGCAGGAACATACTAATCAGTCAACTAAAATTCCCTCTGTTACCCCGGTTGCCGGTAAGCTAAATGGAGACCGCAATTTGCTGTTTGATTCATGTTCACCGATTTGATCGCAGTCGTCATTGTATCAAAAGGACTTCTGATTCATCAAATATCAAAAACCTCGACTATTGTCAGATCCTGTCCTAGTCCCGCTCTATATAGTCCCTCTAGCTTTGGTGAACCATGGATTCTCTATGACTCCATTACTTCTCATTGGCCAATTTGCAAGTATATCCAATCACGGCGTTCTGCAATAATGCCGAGAACGGTACACCCACGTGTTTTGTGGGGTCTAGCTCTGTGGGTCCATATAGGGCGTGCACAAGGTGTAGGGCGTATTTCTCGTTCCCTATTAGATCGAAGTCTTTGAATTAGTACACAGGTAGAGTTTTCTTAGGAATAAAACTATACTTTCAATTTTTCAGGAAATACACAGTTCTAAGTGAAGCTCTCTCGGGAGATAGTAAAGGGAACTCTCAACCAATCTTTCCAACCCTCTACCTGGGTGCATTGTCTGTGCTTTTCTGTAGGCTGCGATGGTCATGCAAGAAATTGGAATTTCAGAGTTTGTATCAAGCCTTCCACCTGCGAAGAGAGCTGTGGGATTTTCCAAAGTGAGTTAAGATTTCTCTCTAAAAATTCAAACCCTTTTTCAAGATGTTGACATTGTATACTTTTGCAGCTACGAAAGAATCATATTGTCCTAGCAGGCACGATATTCGCTTTTAATGCCTCCCTCGGCGCGTCACTTCCCTCTGGAAGCTCACCTGTCATCGCAGAAGCATTCCAAGTGTCCGAAAATGACACACGCATTGTCCTCTTGAACTCCCTCTACCTCGTGGGCTTTGTGGTTGGTCCACTATTCTTCGGCCCGTTAAGCGAATGTATAGGTCGCCGACCAGTCTTCATCGGAACATATCTCGCATACACATGTTTCACCCTCGCATGTGCACTGTCACCCACATTCACGTCTTTGTTGGTCTTCAGATTTCTCTCCGGAGTAAGCGGATCTGCCCCCAACGCGATTCTAAGTGGACTATACAGCGATATCTACAATGAGCCCAACCGACGTGGCAGGGCAATGGCTATCTTCATGTTCACGGCAATCGCCGGACCGATGGCCGGCCCTTTAGTCTCGGGGTTTACGGTTTTACTGTCGTGGCGCTGGGTCTTTTGGGTTGCGTTGATCATTGCCGGGGCTGGGGTTCCAGTTATACTGCTCCTTCCAGAGACATATCTACCCATCCTTCTCGAGAAGGAAAAGAAGATGAGCCTCCATGTTGGTGGTGACCAGAGTCACAGAGCAAAAGACCAGTTTTCGCCCTCAAAGATATTCATTCGACCATTTTTGATGCTGTTGAGGGAGCCAATCGTGTCATTTACTTCCCTATATCTCTCGGTGGTCTATGGAGTACTTTTCTTGTTCTTCCAGGCTTACCCGATTGTCTTCAAAGGTAAGTGAATATCCGTTTGCTGAACTATCGTGGGCTAATAAGAAACAGGATTGTATGGACTTTCAAACAGTGTTAATGGACTCGCTTTTATCCCCAGTGAGCCCCTTCCCTGGGGTCCAACTCTACTATCAGATAACTGATCCAAGAACAGTGATTTTCGGTGCCTTTCTCGGTCTTTGCTTTGTGTTCATATATGCTTCATACCATAGCAAGGCTCTGGCAGCAGGCCAATCATGGGCTTCAGTTGAAGAATATCGCCGACTTCCACTTGCATGCGTCGGTGCACCATTGTATGTATGGCAATTTCTAACGACCCCTCAAATTCTTACTTACCAATGTCGGTCTTGATTACACAGAATTGTCGTTGCGCTTTTCTGGCTTGGATGGACCTCTTATAAATCCATACATCCTGCTCTGCCAATGATGGCAGGCATATTCTTCGGCTGTGGCTATCTACTCGTCTTCACTGCAATGCTAAACTACCTTACGGATGCATATAAAGAGTCTTCGGCCTCTGCACAGGCAGCGGCTAGCGCTACAAGGGCTATAATGGCAGTCGTGCTGCCATTCGCGGCCAACCCAATGTACACCAATTTAGGTATTCACTGGGCGAGCTCGCTTTTGGGGTTTCTGGTTTTTGTATTGGCTTGGATACCCTTTGCTTTCATCAAGTACGGCAGATTGATCAGGCAGAAAAGCGGCATTGCTGTAGAGCCGCGTGAATAGATAGAGGACCTGGATTTATTGAAGATATTTTGAACCATCAATGAACTCTTTTTGGAGGGCTTCCTGTATGCCACGGAACCATAAGCTTGCCATCTTATGGTAGCCCTTGTCATCTGGATGTATGCCATCAACGAATCCCTGAACGTCCGGTCCATCCGATGTGTCCATGTCCACCAGAACGATCTTTCTCTGCTCGGTCGCCTTATATTGGGCCAGGGCGCGGAACTGGTCGTTGACGCGCATCACTACCGAGTTCGCCTCTTTATCTGCATTTTGAAGCAAAGTAGAAAGGAGGATGGTGCATTTAGGGGAAGCCAGCCACAGATAATCGAGCATACCGCCCATGCGGTTACCGGCCTCCATAATATTGAAAGTTTGGAGGCAGTCATTAGAGCCAGCATTAACCAAGACGACATTTGGGGTCAAGGTTTTCACGGATTTTCGAGCCTTCCCCTCGATCTGGTCAATTCTGAACCCACGCCACCCTTCGTGGTCATTGTTGGGCATTAGTCCATCTTTTCGCGAGCCTACCATGCGAGCATTCATGCCATAGAGTTGAATCATCTGTAACAGCGATTTTCTATACCCCGTCCCATCCGACGATCCAACGCCGCGGGTAACTGATCCGCCGAGGGGCATTAGCCGCAAGACAACCTTGTCAGCGGATGTGGAGGAATGGCCTAGGATATGTAGCAGTTAGCTATAGGCTCGAAATATCCACCATCAACTGAGTCTCACTGACCACTTTCTGATAACGATGAGGCTGTCTGAGACGGCTCAAGGGTAGACAAATAGCGTTTGATTGCAGGACGTGGCAAGCAGTGAAGGCAAGAACTGTGCGATCGGTCGATCATTCGCTTCCAATGAGAATGAATCGGCCGCTGCATTGTGTCAAGAGGGCAGAATGTCTCGACACTTGATGCAAACTACAGGAGGATAGAAGTCGCAGAGGCGAGTTGAAATATAATGAGGCATTGTCCCCGGGCGCTCGGCGGAATGTCAAGGCGCCGAGCCCGCACTATCGTTTCAACTCACTTTAAAATCAACATATTTATTTATTTTAATTATACAGATGCGACGGGCAGAACTTCTTGATAGCAGAGTTCTGCGTCTCTAACTCGTCTACAAGCCAGGCCAACACAGTCAAGCTCAAAATTCGCTTGCAAAAATAATTCCATACTAAGCACATGGGACTCCACGTAAAGTATGGTCGTTCTCAATGGATGAAAGTTGCAAGCCAAACAAACTCTCACAAACACTCACTATCATGTTACAAGCCGAGTTCTGTTTTTGGGGGGATCGTGGACAGACAACATCTATGAGTTGAGTTATTGCAAGGATCTTTTAAACGTACTGTGAGAAGTAATAAGAGCGAGAATAGGGGAACCCAGCCCCCAAATCCGTTCTTGATAGGTGCCCTATATAAATGGACGTTGGCTCATTTATCAACTCCCGGAGTCAAGTTCATGCTGGTAGAGACCTTGTGAATAAGTATCTCTGACAGCATCCTCTAAAAACTGCATATCAAGCTCAGGCTGTGAGAGAAGTTGCTGCAGAGATGAATCTGTCCACGCTGCCGTTGAAATCGCCTCATGTGGCATATTGGAAAGCTGAGAAGTCGCCGCTGGGTTGACGGTGGGGCCTTCAGGGAAACCTAGGGGGTCCGCTGCCATTGGTTTCGTATGCGCGAACAACGCCGCTTCGATTGCTTCGATATGGTGGCAATATTCCTGGGCGACGCAATTCCCCGCCTCTTTAAGCTCTCTCAAGAGACGCGATGCCTCTTCAAAAGTGTCGCAATTAATTTGGTTGTCTTGTCCATCTAATATGCTTGCTATTGCCAGCACAACGAGCGAAGAGAACAAATATTGAGTGAAAAAGCAGTCAAATGTAAAGAACGAGCCATCAATCCAGGATTGAGTCAGGAGCTGCGCAGAGTGTCTGGCACATCGCACGCACGCTTCTGACAGCGCCAGGGCAGTCGTGGGTACCTGAAATGAGGAAGCTGTTGGACCTTTCTCTTGTGCAGCAACTTGAATTCGCAGCGCGTGGAGCAGTATTGGACGGGTAGCAATGATGACACACTGCTCACTTGTAAGTAGACATTCGTGCAACACACGAACAGTCAGAGTGGAAGTGCAATGAAGCTACTCACTTGGTAAAAGGAGAGATGAAGCGATACGACCTTCCAGTCGCATGCTACACCCGGGGTGTGATCGATCTGCAGGTGAGGTGGTAATCGATCCACCCAGGCCTGGAGGTCCTGTAAAGACTGGTGGATTTGGCGAGATAGTTGTGCATCTTGTTGTTTGCGGCGGAGTGTATATATAGACCGAACAACATTAGCTAAACGACGAGTCAGCTCAATGTGGGCTACATGGTATTGGGAGTCAAATCCGTCGCCGGTGAGTTGATCTCCTCCAGTCCCGTTGAACGCAAGAACGGAGGGAAGGTCCACCTCGATCTCTTCGTCATGAATTGCCGGGGGGTGACCGAGACTGGCCCCCCACATTCGATCGAACATGTAGGTGGTCCAAAAGAGTCGTTTTCTGTGTTCACGTATAGCCAGGTCGGAAAGCTGGATGTCGGAGATATTAAAATGAAGGCCCATGACGATGGCCGAGCGCATGGCTGTGCCGGATAGTATATATGCACTATATCGTCGATTCAGCGCTAGTGAGTACATGGACTTTGATAGCGTCGTTAGTAATAACTGATTCAGGCGAAGCCCTATAATCGACATACTAGAAGAAGTAGAGTCTCGATAGTCTCAGTTCCGGGGCGTTCATTCAAGTAGCCCAACATCCTTGATGCCTGGGCAAAGTATGCCATTCCTGGATAGCTCTGCATCGCCGCAGCTCTGGAAGTGTATAGCTGTCCAAGAGCAAAAAGTGCCCAGAATCTGCAACACACAACTGGTCCGCCCCAAGTCGGGTCCGTAAAAATCCGGGAAAGGCCCTCCCTGACTTCGTCGACGCGGACGATGTAATAGCAGCGGCCGATATGTTTCAAGGCGGCCTCAAGCAAAAAGCGAGCCCGGGATTGGCTTGGCCACGGGACCCCGGACTGAACGAGGGCCATCAATGCATCATCGCTTGCATAGTTAACACGAAGAAGGTGGGTCGGTTCCGGTGCCCTAGGATCGGAGATGACCTGACGAAATCGGGTTGCAAAGGCCGTGTCGGCAGCTTCGCTGATCAAAATGGGTGTATGGAAAACATTTCGATTGTCAAACCATGGAGCGTCATTGATGGTCGGATCTATCTCAGAGTCGATATTCTCGACTCTGGCCTGAAATGTGGTTGCTGACCTTGTCGACTCTGGCGCGATGGCCTGGGGCACATGTTCATCGAGTGGGCTTGCGTCTGATGGATGACTGTCCGGGGCCGGCCTGGTATTTTGTTGTCGCTTCAAACGCTCGATTTCTTCATAGAGTCCGTCGATGAACCTGCGGCTCGGTTAGTTCCACTCCGAATGTGTAAAAAAAGCAAAGGGGCAAGGGGCAAGGGGCAAGGGGGCACCTTTGAGAGACCTTGACCGTCCTGTTTCGTTGAGGATACAAACAATCGCTTCCCTGTTCGGCTTGCAGGCAATTCTGGCATGGCTTTCCACCCGTACATTTAATCTTCTTTGCGTGGCATCGGTGACAACTGACAGTGTCAGTTAAATTCCACACGTCAATTGTAGGTCTTACGCGACGACTTTATTGGGCAGTAAGCTATTTCGGTGACCTGCTGATGGGGCCGCCCTCTCCGGATAATTCTGCATTTTGATACTGTTTTTGTATACGGGAGACCGGGGGAAGAGAGGAATGCCGGGGTGAAGGGCGGACCGGCCGGACCTGCCGGGCTGCTTACTGATCGCCCGTGGGTAACTCCCGGCGAAACGGTTTCCTGCCGAGTGCAATATATCGAAGACTCAACTTGAAGATTTCAAGTGGATTCGGGATGGTTGCAATGGCAGAATTGGCTCGAAATAGGTTCTACCGTGTGTCGGGTCGTAACATATATATCTCTTCATGGCAGCACTGAGAATTAGCTCGAATTTTCTCGATTCTGTTACTTTTGCCCGTTTGAAAATCACACAATATCCTGACTTTTGCTCTAGTCCACAATGAAATACACCCACCAATCCAATCCGTCGCGCTTGAGTCGGGAGGCAGAATCTGTGGCCGCCACCTGCATCGAGAATCTCTCTCAGTGGGCCATTGCCGTCGAAGAAATCCGCACCTGGCCTGAGTATAGTCCCCAACCACTGCGCACGCTTCCCGGTCTTGCTCAGAAAGTGGGTGTCGACCAGCTGTTTTTGAAAGATGAGAGCAAGCGGTTCGGCTCCGACATTGGCTCTTTCAAAGCACTGGGCGCGCCGTACGCCATCTACAAGATTCTAGCGGAGGAGGTTTATGCGAAAACGAGTGTACGACCCTCATCGGCCGAGCTCCGCACCTCCAAGTACCACGAAATCACCCAGGACGTTACCGTATGTGTTGCCACGGACGGAAACCAAGGCCGCGGTCTCGCCTATGGAGCACAAGTGTTTGGCTGCCGCTGTGTCGACTATATCCATGATCATGTTAGCGATGGCAGGGCCGACCGGATGAAAAAGTACGGCGCCGTGGTTATCCGTGTCGATGGAGAATACGAAGCATCTGTGGCACGCGCGAAGGAGGATGCCCGTATGAACGGGTGGTACTTTGTCAGTAGTACCTCTTGGTCCGACTTTGACAACGATGTTCCTCAACATGTTATGAATGCCTACATGGTCGTCCTCGACGAGGCACTTAGCATGATCCCCGCGGTAGACAAAATCACACATGTCTTCGTGTGCGGCGGTGTAGGAAGCATCGCCGCGGCAATCTTTCAGGGATTTTACAAACATTTCCACGAAATTCAAAAGTCAACCCCAGCCCTTGCCACGGCGACAATGCCACGATTTGTTGTCGTGGAGCCATCCGAGGCGGACTGCCTCTTACAGAGTGCGAAGAATGGGGAGGCTCGCGAGTCTACAGGATCTTTGCGCACGCTTATGGCCGGTCTAGCCTGTCGCGCGCCATCTCCTGCGGCTTTGAAAGTACTCACCTGGCTTACAAGTGACTTTATGGCCGTCCCCGACTCCGTAGCGGTGGACGGTATGAAAGCATTGGCACATGCAGAAGAGGGTGATATCCCTGTAGTATGCGGCGAGTCTTCAGCAGCCAGCATGGGTATCTTGTTGGGATCCAGCGCGGATCCATCCTTGCGCGAGAAGCTTGGTTTGAACAGATCAAGTCAAGTCGTTCTATTTGGGTTGGAAGGTGCTACGGATCCACACATTTACGAGTCTTTGGTTGGGAAGTCTCCCCAGGCTGTCTTCGAGGCCCAGGATGCCTTTACTCGTGGCTAAGGTCCTTCAACCCCTCTAGCTTTTAACGTTATTATGAGATCCGTGAGCAATAGTCACCCAATTTTCTAGGACAATACATGTAGTCACAAAAGTTATATTGGCTCATTAAGTGTAATTAGTTCTTGGCTGCCCTCCAGACTACTTTCAATCAAAACAGTTTTGTGGTTACTGATATTATGCGATCATTTAAATCTACCCACGAGGCGTGCATGTTTTCTCAAGGAATATGGTATATGTGTACATTACCATATGGCCATCAAAATTATATTAATTGATCCTTACAACCGAGAGAGCCTTCAACCACATGGTCCCGGTGGCTCGAGAAGTCTATGCTTCTATTCTCTTCGAAACCCGGTACCTGGTCCATCTATTCTAAGCCATTTTTGAGGGCCAAATTGGAGAGAACCCGTTCGGCCCAACACCAACATTTCCGTCGGGGCACTGCCAATATCACCGAAGCGCCACATCCTGTTCCACCACATCGGTCAGTGGTCTCGTATGTTGGAACTGCCCCGCTGAGATGATCACTCGCAGTTTAGCCACTATAGACCGCGTCGTCATGGATATAACTAGAACCATAGGTACTAGGCCCTGGTGCTTTTTGTTAGTTAGGCATCGCTGATTCCACCACCTCCGAATTTAACATTTAAGCCTGACCCTGCATCTATTACACTGATTGTAGCAAATATGTGTTCGATGGCGCCTGATCAGAATGCCCTGGATTTTGTCAATCGCGATCGACTGCGGACCACATTTGCCAGCGCCATGTCTTCCATGTATCGAGCCGAGGTGCCACTGTATGGGGATCTGATCAATATCGTGCGCGACATTAATGAGAAGACCTCCCAGTCTTCCTTTCAAAATGATCAAGAAAAGGATGACTCTGCAATCGTCACTAGCTCCGAGAGGCTGACCCTAGAGCGACACGGCGCCATCCGCCTGGGGACCCCATACGAGCTACAGACAATAAGAAGGATTCTTGCCCTCTTGGGACTTGAGCCGGTGGGATACTATGATCTTTCTATTGCCGGCCTGCCCATGCATGCGACGTGCTTTCGCCCCATTTCCGTCCCGAGTCTCGACCTCAATCCCTTCCGGGTATTCACCACCCTGCTACGACCGGAGTTGCTTGCTTCGGCGGAGTCACGTAGGCTTGCTTTGGAGCTGCTCGATAAGAGAGAAATCTTCAGCGATGCTCTTCTCGGAATCTTGACAACTGCAGAAGCACAATGCGGGAGGCTAACCGAAATCCAAGCCAAGATCTTCATTCCCGAGGCTCTGGCCACGTTCAGTTGGAAGCCTCTCGCCGCGGCAACTTTCGATCAATACCAAATCTTGAAAACTGAGCATCCTATTCTCGCGGACATTGCGTGCTTCCAGAGCGCGCACATCAACCACCTCACGCCACGGGCCCTGGACATATCCGCCGTTCAGTCTGCAATGAAAGCATCTGGCATGGCTGTGAAAGCACATATTGAGGGTCCCCCACCTCGAAATTGCCCTATCTTGTTACGCCAAACGAGCTTTCTTGCTCTCGAAGAGGCAGTTCAATTTAAGCAAAATGATTCGGATCATGGTAGGGACGTGGGGGCTTCGCAGCCCCAGGAGCCATTGATCATGTCCAATCACAAAGCACGGTTCGGCGAGATTGAACAACGAGGGGCCGCAGTCACACCCAAGGGACGACTCCTCTATGACCAGCTACTGCACGAATGCAAAAGGAGAGCCACTGGTGTCGATGCCGATGAGGTTGATGCCATCGCATTGAAAGTTTTCCAGCAATACCCCGACAGTTGGACTGAGCTCCGAAAACAGGGGCTGATCTACTGTCATTTCAATTGTGACCAGACAAGCTTCCAGGAATCGACTCTAGATCCCAATGATGGCTCTCTTCTTGAACAGCTGATTGCCAAGGGTGCTGTGAAGGCTTTCCCCATAACTTATGAGGACTTCCTCCCCTTTTCCGCTGCGGGAATCTTCCAGTCCAACTTGCAGTTGGGTAACCAGCCCAACGAGTCACTAGGGCTAACACACTCGTCGTCAGATCAAAATGGCTTTGAGGAAGCACTTGGTGGGAAAGTGTTTGATCTTGATAGGTGGTATTCCAATGTGCAGCAACAAAGCCTGGAGAGAGTGGGCAATCGGTTGGGACTTGCCTTTGAGGCGCTCATGTAAAGGTACAACCTGTTGTTGAGGAAGAGAAAAGGCTGCCTATCTATAGACCAGAGATGTAAACGAATAAACTACTCAGGGAAGCTGGTGCAAACAACAGATCTCTACATAATGAATGATAGAGCACTATTATGGGCCAACGCGAAATTCTTTCAAATGCTCTGACTCTTAGATGGCACAGAGCTTTTGCTTATGACATACGGTACCCACTACGCTAATTCATACAAGGAGTAATCTTTTAGTTTCTCTTTCTCCCCCAGATAAGCAATGTGTTCATATCAATGGATAATTGTGTTTGATCGAGTTTCCCCATAAAAATTCCGTTCAAAGGTGGATAACGATGATGCTGATCTCAACCCTAAAGTAGGCCATAGCCTCGATCTCAACATCAGTACCAAGCGGGAGCTGCTTAACAGCGACGCAGGTGCGGACCTAAATGTAAAGAAATGCTTAGCTAACGCACTCAAAATAACAAATAAGCATCAAAACGTACTGGCATCACACCCTTGTTAAATACGGTGAGGTAAGCCAGGTTCATTGACGCGTAGTTTGCCATATCATCGATGAAAATAGTAACTTTGACCTATATCCACCTCCATTAGATTGAAACCGAACGAATCGCTAGTTTGAATTGTGAAAATTAAAGCCTTTAACATACAGCATTATCAAGAGAGCTTCCCGCAGCGTCCAAGATATTTGAGATATTCTTAAGACATTGGACCTATTATAGCAAGACATGCAAGTTTTCCCTTCTCTCTTTCAGAGCAAAGTCATAAAGTGAATACAATCTATTTACATTAAAAGGCAATCAAATTGTTGCCCCGCGTTCAAGAAGTTTTACCACCTCTTCGTCCTCCTCTTGCGCCTTCGCGGCTGCGAGCGCATTACGGTATTTTCCATTTTCGAGTGGCATATTGATGTCAGCCCCTGCTTCGACCAGGAACTGGACGACCTCAAGATCTCCCTTGTTTGCTGCAACCGCGAGAGGACTACCACAATTTTCATACTTGATTGGCAAGTTCACGTTTGCTCCCGCACGCACCAGGACCTTGACAGCTTCGGTGCTGTCCCCGGATACCACGGCTGCTACAAGAGCACTGCCATAGTTCCCACGCTGTGGCAACGCATTCACATCTGCTCCTGCCTCAATGAGACACTCGACTACCTCGACGTCGCAACCATCTGCCACTGCTGCTGTAAGGGTATTGCCATATTTTCCATGTGGCAATGACAAGTTGACATCAGCGCCCTTTTGGATCAGGTACTTGACTGTGTTGACATCACCACCTAGGTATGATGCAACAGCTGCTGCGAGAGGACTACCATATACTCCGTTCTGTGATAGCAAATTCACATCTGCTCCTGCACCTACCAGTGCTTTGGTAATGTCAAGGGTTCTGTCCTGTGCTGCTGTATATTCGAGGACAGTACCATGGTCTCCCTCGGCAAGTGGCTTATTGGCGTCGGCACCCTTCTGGATCAGGTACTTGACACCCTCGAGGAATCCGGATCTGATTGATTGCTCGAATTCCTCTGGCACATTCAACTCTGCACCTACTTCAACCAGGTATTCGAGAACCTTGATATCCTGACCAAGTACTGCCAGAGAGACAGGGCTTCTCTTGTCATCCCCTTTATGAATATCTGCCCCTGCATTGACAAGATACTTTACAATTTCAATCGAGCTTGCCTTGTTTGCATTGTTGGTTCCATATGCTGCTGCTGCGAGAGGCGTGCCATGCTCTCCGCATTCTGATGGATTCACCTCGGCACCTGCTTCAACTAAACATTTGACAATTTCCAAATTTCTGCTGTCGGTTGATGCTCGTTCCAGGAGAGTACAGAAGCTAGCCTCCAAGATTGGCAAGTTCACATCGGCCTTTGCCTTTTGAATCAGGTACTTGGCACCCTCAAAGTTGTGGAATCTGATTGCTACAGAAAGGGCATTTCCAGACTGTTTTGACACATTCATGTTTGCTCCAGCATCCACTAGGATCTTGAGAAGCTCGGTGCCCTTAATTTTGGCTGCTAATGCAATTGGAGTCAGAACCACGACCGGCTCTAGATCTTCGTCCTCTTCCTCCTCCTTAAGGGTGTGGGTCTGATTCACATCCGCACCCGCCTTTTGGATCAGGAATTTGGCAGTATCGACTTTCTCAGAGGCAAGCGCTGCAACAAGAGCACTCCCATGTTTTCCGTTTTCCACTGTCATGTTCACATCTGCACCTGCTTCGAGCAGATATTTCACCGTTTCAGTGTGTCCCTGGTGAGCTGCTGCATGAAGGGCACTACCGTAATCTTGACCCTCAACTTTCTGGTTCAAATCTGCACCTTTTTCGACGAGTGTTTTGCAAATTGATGTACAGTCAACTCGAGCAGCAAGCGTGAGAAGATTATGGCCTCTTTCATTTACGCGCGAAACATCGAATTCTGCATTTTGCCACCAGTCTGACAGGATGGCAGCAAATGAAAGATGACACATCGCATAAATGGCAGCATCTGATGGCCCTAACTCGCTTTCAAACTCGCCATACTCCGGATGTTGTGCCTGGTTAAAGTCGCATGTGTCGAATTCTGCTTCATCAAAGCCGCCTGCCAGGAGGTAAAAGTTGTATACATCCGTGCCTTGAAGATCGGTGACCAAAACAATGTTTTCCAAATCGTTCGCCATCACTTCATACCATTTCTGGTATTGCTTGCTGCTTTCCTGGGGAGATCCGAGGAAGATCTTCAAAAGGGAGGACAACGTAGCTTCTTCGTCATCCTGCGCCCCCTGAACATGCTTTGCCCAGTGATGCCTCATGTATAGATGGAATGGGTGCATGAGATGGAAGATATCAGCTGGCTCTGGTTGTCCCTCCCAATCTGACAAATCAATTTCATTGCTATCGTCTTTGTCGTACATTGTGATGAACCATGAGAGACAGGCACTAGCAGCGTGGAAATTAGCTCGTGGAAGGGTCCATTGCATCTTGGTTTCTAGGTATTCGCGAACCGATAGATGTGCAAACCGCCACACCTTTTGCTGAGAGTCAATTGTGAGGAGATTGTTACAGAGTGACAGCAGGCCTTGCTCGTCAATTTCATCGGCCAATGTAGGTAGCTCCCCCTTTGTGTTCACGCGAACAGCGCAGATAAGCTGGGATGAGGAGAGCGGTCGTTCAGCAGCCATAACCCACAGCATAGCGCGGCTTGTGAGGATTTGATCAGGCTCCTCTAGGTCTTCAATTTGACTCCATGCCTCGTCATATGCCTTTTGAATACCGTCCGGAAGATTTTCAAGTCGTTTCCATACACTAGACTCAGTCTTGCACTTCTGGATTTGGTGTGCTTGCAGAGCCGCCCATTGAAACATTCCTTGGCAACGCTCGAGTAGTGTATCGACAATCTTCGCTTTCAAGCGTCCGATGAAAGGGGTCTTCCTAGCAAGCTTGTCTAACTCGACATTGAGATATTCTCTAATGTCGCCTTTGTTGTCACTCGCGTTGATGCCGGTATTTAGGGCGTTTTGCAATTGGACCTCAATGTCGGGGTCAGGTCGGCTTGAAACGAAAACTTTTACTTGCCGTTTGTTGGATTGAGAAACAAAGGAATTCAAGGCTTCAATAAGCTCGTCGCGGGAATCTGGATTACATTCGTCCATGGCATCAATCACGATCGTGGTTTTCTCGTAAATATCCAGCGAGGCATGGATCTGCTCATTGCACTGCCCTAGGCTGAAGGCTGACCCGGCACTGCGACATTTATTGTATAATTCACAAAGCTTTGTTTGTGTGGATTCGGGATTATTCGCGGTAGTTGAGAGCTGACGCACGATACTTTGAAGGATCGATAGTGACTGTGCACGTCGCGGTTCGTTCTTATCGCAGTAGAAAAATGCGAAGCCTTCATTCTTAGATGTGTCGCTTAGTTGGTCCTGGATTCGGTCGACGACGGTTGATGTGAGGAAGGTCTTTCCGGTACCGGGAGAGCCCTGGAGCCAGAAGATAGACGAGTCGCTTTCCTCCCAGTTGGCAAAGTCCTCATGTTGTAATAACCACTCACCCGTCCCGGGTGTCCTCTTTTCTTTCACGTTGTTATGATTTTTGCCAAACGGAATAGAAGAGATCCATTCCAACATCTCGATCCGCTTTTCTTCATCCATCTTTTGAAGGAGATGTTGAATGTTCTCATCTACCCGCTTCATCGGGGTATTGAAGGCATTCAGCATTTCAATCATGCTGTCATCTGCATTCGCACTGCGTCTCACTTCACATGCAGAGACGTCACGTAGTAGATCATCTTCTTGCTCGCTTATAGCCGAGATACTGCCAGAAACCTTGCCCGGATTGAGGAGTGCTTGAAGCGTGCGTGTAGCAGTGCTTTTGGAGAACAGAATTCCCGATTCAGCAAGTAGATCCAACGATGTAGTATAGATTGTGGTTAGTGCCGATTGAAGATTCTTTGAGATGCTATCCGTAGCGGGTCTGTTCCTGAGGTAGACCGACTCATAAACTTGGCCACGACTGATCACGCGGACGATCTTTTCTGTGGTTGCAAGCAACGCAGCCATTTGCTCGCCTTCGATGACCGGAATCTAATGCCATGGGTTAGCAGAGTGCATAAGAGAGATTGAAGTGTCGAGAAGGACAGGGTCCAGATCAAATATAAAAGCAAGGCAGTGGGGGAATTACCTGCATGACCGATTTGATGACAGCCCAAGGGATACCTGCTTGAGGTGGGGCAAATTGAACAGCTATATCTCCAGCCTTTTTCAACCAGTCCACAATCCTATTTGTATAGTTCCTTAGGACAATTTCTTCATCGCCGACATTGACTTTCCAAAACTTCTTCTCGCACTCTTCCTGTCTCTGGTTGACCACACCGACCAGATTGTCAATGCTGGACTCGACAGATCCAGGTTGTGCGTTGGACAGGTTGAATCCCATATTCTTGAGTGTTTCCTGTTTGGATTCAGAGAGGGAGCTGAGGGCCTCCACCCACAAATACTTTGGGGCATCTGGCTTCTTAGCTGGCTCTTCATCGACCAGTGACTCGCTCCTCTCCACAGGTGGTAGCTTAGCAGTGGCAGCTGGCTGTGCGGAAGGAGCTGCCACAGGTCGAAATTTTACGTTGTCTGCTTGCTCTAGCTTTGCTAGTGTGGATTTGACCTTCAAAATATCAAATGTATCAGCTTTGCCAAAAGAAAAGAATACTTCTATGGTGGCATATCTCGATGTGTGAAACACTGTATGAATACCATTGTACTTGTACGACTCACCTCTTGTCGATTCTTCTTGTGCCTGCGGTGAAACTTGTTCTTGAATCGGTCGAACATCTTGTATGGTGTAACTTGAGGTCATCTAAGAGCTTTTGTGGTAGATATTGATGGAAGAGAGAAGCTTGGAATATTTCCAGAGATGAAAACAGGTATAAAACCAAAGAGGGGAAATCTGAAGAGGGACAATTCAGCGTGAAAGCTAATGGGGAGCCGATCACATAGGTTTAGGAAATGATATACAAGGGTTCCATATATAAACCCACATACTTCTCTCAGCTGTCCACTTCATGACCGGAAATCTGTGAGAGAATGGTATGAGCTCTTGCGCATGCTGGTGTAATGAGGATACAAAGCAACCTGAGAAGAAATCAGATAATATCTATATTCTAGCATCAAGCATTCCTAGAGATTAAGTATCTGACAGTATCACTGCCCGTGGGTGATCTCAGACTCCACAGCCGATCGGCAACAGTGCTAGGCTGAAGAAACCTATCTCTATCCCAGATAGATCTGAGAAATCGCTTGATTACTGGATAACTTGGAGGCCACGGACTAAAACTTGCATATTTTATCCCACTCTACTCTATCCTTTTCCCTGCAATAATACAATGGTCAAGTTTCGTTTTCGAAACTTCTTGGAAATGAGCATATTACCAGAATAACACCATTGCACGGATATAGGCATTGGCAAGTCTTGAACGCAAACATACGAAAATGAATCCAATACTTTCTCTGGGCTTGTATGACCTAACAATGTTTCGGGCTTACCATCACATGTTATCTGTCCAGCCTCTACCTTTCCTTTTCCCTTTCTCCTATTCCTATTTTCATTTAGATCCCCGATGGAAGGGCATCCTGTGCTTTTGGGTCCTGAAGGCACCCTAGGTATCGTCGCGCTTGGGGGTACCGGGTGTATCCACCAAGATTCCAGTTCTCAGGACCAAGTTCTTAAGGCACCCCTGAAACATAATACCCAAAGCTGCAGCCAAGAGATAATCGAATCTATCAGAAGCAGAGAAGAGTTCTCAGAGTTATGCATCAATCGTGAGAAGCTTGTCTACCAGTTCCTCCCAAAAGATCCTAATATCTTAAACTGCCTTGTTGTCACCGAAAGAGGGATTCAGTTCCCCTATCTACGGAATGGGGACGTGCGAAGTTACCTCCAAGAGCATTCGCAATCATTAGATGCCAAAACACGAGGTCGATGGATCAAAAATGCCGTTGACGCTATTTCTACTATACATGGATATGGTGTCATTCCCTCCGATATTTTTGCACGTAACTTTCTCGTGGCTGATGACTTTTCGATTCAACTTTGCGATTTTGCTGGATCAAGGATTAATAATCTCGAGTCCTTGGTGGAAGAGGAAAGTCGATACCGTTCACCTTCGTCGCCTTCGTCACCTTCGCCGCCTCGAACTATCCAGACTGACCTGTTTGCGCTGGGTTCCTTTATCTACGAAGTCTCTACTGGTGCACACCCTTTTTCCGAGATTGAGGATAACGATGAAATTGAGAGACGTTATGCCGCGCAAGATTTTCCAAGTCTTAATGGCCTTGAATATCACGATGTCATTTCCAAATGCTGGAGGTCGCAATACTCTTCCGCTGATGTGTTGAGAGACAATATTCGCCGTATTAAGTCTTCGGCTTTTGAGCCAGCACGACTGACTCCCCCATTCTTTTTTTCTACTAGGGCAATAATTGGCATCGGTTATACTGTTGTATGGATGTGTGGGGGGCGAAAGAGATAAAATAACTTTCTTTTGAGCATATAGGACTTGGAATATTCTCTCTCGTTGGAAGATCCTTGCTCGATTCCAAGTATCTCAGTCTTAACTACTTCGGTTCTCCCCAAATATCTTCATGCAGTCTCGCTCGCGTAACCCCAATCAGACCATCTCCAGGACCCTTTACTATTGTACCAAAGCGCGAGAAAGGTTCTTGTTTCGGCACATCCAGCACTCCAGAGTTTACTAAAATCATGTTAGGGTTCTTGTTAAGGCAGCCTTTCTGCCTCATGCTGTTGGGACCTCTGCTCCCCACCAGATTGATCTGCCTCTCTCTCTTAGCAGCGAAGCTAATCCACGGTTTTCTTTCCCATTTGCCTTCTCGGTAGCTATATCCGGCCAACTCTTTCTCTGAAAATAACAAGCCAACCACTTACCTTTGCCTTGCAGTCTGTGCAAATAATGGTCCGTTTGGTAGACTTCGCGACGGGCACTCGGTCCTTGATTACGCCACAACTGCTTTTGTGGGGCATAATGCCAGTTTCTTCTCCCTCGTGACCACATTTGAATCTCACGGGGCCATAAATGAGCTTGCACATTTTTCTTGGACGTCATAAGCAGTGAACTTCATCAAAATTGGTCTTACTCACTATCTATGTAAGTAGGGTCAATGATCCTTGTTTGAGTGTTGTGTTGTACGTTATGGTATTATGAGAGGCCAGTTTAGCTAAGTGGTAAAAATGTAGGTAGATATGTAAGTTGGCCTACGAAAGTTGCCGGGTGTGTTCGCCAAAATGTTAGCCAATTGGGGACTTTACGTTGCCATTCCAACATGTGACCGTAGCGCAAAACTTGTAACCAATGGACATAATGCTCTATCCAGGCCACTAGGGATCGGATTCCATATATGGGCTGTGTAACAGAGAAAGACAAGTGCACGGGCAGGGTGTAGGATAGGCACTTTCCAGATAGGGTTGTACCTGCCTGAGGCAGAATCCCATCTCGCACCACATGTCTTATATGACATTTTACAACTTTTTCATGACTTTAGGGGCATCTAATTTCATCTTTCTAGCTACAGCACTGACACCGGGAAAATATATCAAAAAAGATAAGAGAGATGGGAGCCTGAGATCAAGAAAATAACCCTGGGTTCATATATCCTCCATCTTTGCCCTTGCACAGGCTATAATCTTGCCCTCGTCCGTTGCTCCAGTGCACATGCACTGCCCTAGTATGGATGCCTACTGTGCATGGGTCTTACTCCTCGAACTCAGAAAACATCGCCTTGAATAGGCCAGCCGTACGGTCACTTGCTCGTCGACTTTTCTCGACCCGTAATTTCTCCTCCGACCCGTGTCTAATACCTGCGGGAATTGACTGTAGGTCATCGTCAAAGCCACTTGGTGAGATCATAGAACTTCACGATCTCCGCTACTATAGAACTAATAACTTAGCATCAGGATAACTGCTATGGGTCCACTAGTGATTACTCACATATCGACTCCAGGCTGGTGTCAACTTTGTTTTGGCAAAAGAGTTGGCACAATAAGGTAAAATGTTCATGATATATATTATCAACTCTCAGTACCTAAGAATGACACTTAAATAAGTATTTCCGCACTTCACCATAAATAACACCGTTGCGGTTGGATGATTACGGTCGCTTGTCCCGAAATTTAGATATTCACAACAGCAAATGTTTTTAGACCGTTAACAAGTATTAAATCTCCAACATCTCAAAGTAGAGTGCTGTTTAGAATTCTAATAATTGTCAGATATAAAACAAAACATATGTCTAATTATCATAACAAGCACTAATGGTGTAGTGGTAACATATAACACTTCCAGTTAATCATCTGATTAGCAAGTTATGTTGTGCCGGGGGTTCGATTCCCTCTTAGTGCATTTTTTTATATTTTTATTTTACTTGCATGTTAAATATTACTAATGTACAACATATGTGTGAATGGAGAGTCTACATGGCGACAAAGTCGAAAGTGACATGGGTATGGTTATGAGTATATAGATACCCCATACATGTACAGTTTTGAAAGTAGACACAACATCAAGATAAACAGCCAACCTAGGTTGACAATGACATTTCATACCCAGCAAAAAAAATAAAATGGAACAAAAACCAATGCAAGACGACCCCCATGTTCGAAACGCCGTGCCATGTGTCTTAGGGACAAAAAATCGCGCATCAACTATAGGGGGTACTCGCGAGAAGGGGAATCGAAGAGTGACAAATGAGATGCAAGATGCGACAAAATAGACAATGACAAAGGAGATGACAAAAGAGACCCTCATCCAGCCACCTTCCATTTTGTCCAGCAGAGTAGAGACAAGCCAATCCGAAAGCTGTCATGAGGTGGGATATGATAAATGCAAAAGCAAAAAAAAAAAAAAAAAACAGGTAACAATGCGGATGGGATATCCTGGCAAATAAACATAGAGAAAAACGACAGGAAAACACCGGGAAATGAGAACATATACTTTTTGATGTCCTGCACTTTCGAAAGAAAAGAAAACAAAACCAGACATGGGAAATGAGATTCGATGAAAAGAGACCAAAATTGTCCGAATCATTTTCCCAGTAAAGAACCCCAAACGGCGCAATGATTAATCCCCGTAGACCCTGCTACAGGGGATTCAAGAGTATGATTATACAGTACAAGGAGGAACTTGAGCCTCCGATTGGTATCAGTATCAGTATCAGGTTGCAGATGGGTTTGAAAGCAGTGTGCCAAAATCAGCCATTGACCATGTCATCCAAAGCCATCTTGCGCCGTTTGATAGGTCTGTTGTCGTGACCTTCGGCTTCAGTGCTAGGTGGCTCAGCCCTCGTCATGGAAGGCGAACTGCCAGATGTTATCTGAATCGGGGATGGTAATTCCACTGGCCCAAGGTGGCGGGGTATGGGATCCATGGTTGCGCTTGTTATGGAAGAGGAGCGTTGGTGGGGAATGGAGTAATTGAAGGCCGGCCCTGCAGATCTGTGGAGAGGTACAGCGCGGGGGTCGTGAAGGGCTTCTTCTCGGCCTGGGAGAGTCCAATTCATTGGGTACGGGTCGCTGAGGCGATGGCCATGGTGAGAAGGGGGTGGTGGCCCGGCTGTTGCCTGGTGGATTGGAGGGAGCCGGACGGGTGATTCGATGTTGTATGGATCTCGAGGTGATAGCGATACTCGGGGATCGTTTGTTGGACGGATAGGATTGCCAGGAGTCTCCGTATACGGTAGAAATGGTATACTAACTGGCGGCGGTTGATGTTGGGGAGGCGATGTTGGTGGTGGTAATGCTGGGATGCCGTATGTTGGGAATCGCCGCTCCATGCCACCAGACATAGTGTTGATCTTTAGGGTTGGGTTGAACCCGCCTGTCATTGGCATGTATGGTGAAGGTACTTGTGAATGCGTCGGTACTGAATGGGATGGCGGTCCAGATGAAGAGAATGGGCGTCGAATCATACCTCCCGGGACCGTAGGGGAGGGGTCCATAGGCCGTGTCAGAGGAAATACCGAAGCAGACCACCGATGTGGTGTCCGTACTCCTACCGAGCTTGTATCTGCCAATCCCTGTAGATCCGTCATGGGCCGTAATTCTCGTGAAGACGTAGCCCGATGCATGGTGGTCCGCCGTGGGGGCATGGTTGGTTGAGCCTCCGCTGGGATCGTCGGGTTATCCAATTGTGTGGTATAGGACCTGAGAGACGAATCCTCTGCTTTCAACGGGGGTCGTCCTCGCTTTTTATGGGTGACGTCCACACATGTTGACTTTTTCCCCCTACTTGTTAGTTGCGATTTCATGGTTCACGGAGATTCATTTTTAAAACCACTTACGGCTTTTCCAGCAAGCACACATCTTCGACACGGACGAGCTGGGTCACATCCAAGGTGCTTTTTCTTGCAATTGACACAGGCCGATGCCACATGGGCTTTTGTGCGTCGGGTCGATTTCTGTGCCAGTGAGCGACCTGTGGGATGCGTTGGGTCTAGGGTGGGTGGACATGGCGGTGCTGGTAGTGGAGATCCAGCATATATCGGTCCCTGTTCGTTATATCCCAACCGTGACAGTGGCTCATTCACCGGTACTTGTGATAATTCTAATGCAGATACAGACCGCTCAGCCGCGACGGGTGAGGAAGGATATCCCCGAGGCTTGATCTCTGCGGACGGCTCCGAGGGTTTTGCTGGAGGGGATCCAGACATAGATTGATGGGGTATAGGAGCCCGGGAGCTACACCCTCGAGCATTGGGGGACCAAGATCGATTCAACGGTAGCCGCTCTGGGCCCTGGTTGAATCGGGGCTGTCCAAACTGGGAGATAGTGAGGCTCGGGGGGTGAAGCACGAGTGATTGCATCGGGGTGTCGGGCAAAGAAGAGAATGGGCCCACGGGGCAATTGCTTTAGTTTTTTTTTTTTTTCTTTCTTTTTTGTCACTGGGTTTTTTTGTTTCTTTTTAGGTGGATCTTCGTTCAAATTCACAAGCAGAGACCGCTGGCTTTCGCGGTACGTTGGTGCAGCATATCTGAGTAGGAGAAGAAAAGAAAGCGCAGCGGTGTAGAGAATAGAAAAGAAAGGTCCTATCAAAGTCTCTCCAATACCTTCCAAGGACTCAAGCTTATAATCAATATGGAGAGATCCGCTATTAGAGGAGTCAGAAAATAGACTGCATCGAGAGATTTCTAGATGACAGCAGGATACAGGGTTACTCATACGCATGTCTTCCCAGGGCGACTTATTGCAGGCGATCATCGAGCTAGGATCAAGGTGCAGCAAAATGTCAAAGCACACCCCACGCCTTACCTCTTGATCACACGTCCCACGTTCCAAGGTATTTTGTTAAAGGGGAGGGAAACGGTGAACTATACCCGAAAGTAGTAAGATGTAGCCCAAATGGAATAAAATAAAGTACATCTCCACTTGAATGTTCCTAAGGCGTTCGATAGTCCAAAGAAATTTGACTACATACAGGATATACCCTACACAAAAGTGGTCAATGCAGGCGCTAGTAACTGATAGACTTGATCTTCGTCATGGTAGATCATTGGAGAATAATGGATTTTAACGGTTGCCCCTCTTAGACTCCTTTCTTTTTTGATCTGATACTGTAAAAATAAAAATAAAAGAGAGAGAATGCTTCTCTCTATTCCTCCTCCTCTCTCTTCCTTGTTTTGCCCCTACCTCTATCCTATTTGGCACTTCGGGGCTTGCATCTGTCAGTGACACTCTCAGGAGCGGGTAAAAAGGGAAGGGATTAAATTCCAAAGGAGAGTTCTTTTCCCTTTTTTCTTTTTTTTCCATTTTTCCATTTTTCCCGGAGAGGGTATATATACCAATCAGGACTAAGCAAGGTGGAAAGATTGACGGATCGACGTCGGCGCCCGCAGCCATTGCCAATAGTCAACCTCGGCGTGGACTATTGCGTGGAGTACATGTACTACTTTTTACACATTTAATATGATCTAGATTCAATATATATATATACATATATATACAATATAAAAAGATAATTCGATAGTAACCTCCGAAATCAGATGTTTTTTTTAGGGTTAGGATACTTAATTATAACCCTCTCTTGACTTCTTTATAATATTTCAACTCCACATAATATCCCGGCAATTGATCTTAAATTTAAACCCTTGAAACCCTTTTAAGCATTTATAAATCCCCTTATTCTCCGACTCAAATCATTGTACCAGGTTTTTATGCTCCGTCTAGGGGGTTACTGTTACAGTCCGCAGATCAGAGATAGAAAGGTCTCACAGGGTTTGAGTCGGACAACTGCAGGCACCGCAATTGTCCCCTTTTTTTTTCCTTCCCTCCTTTTTCTCCTTCTTTTTGGGCGTTTTTTTTTTGGAAATAGTTTGCGGGTGTGATACCGGGTCAATAATCAGATTCCTGTGATACCCACTGTTTTTTTTCTCTCCCCTTTTTTTTTTTTCTTTTTTCTTTCTATATGCCTTGGATTCGGATGAACTTGAATACGGAGTAATTCGAGTGATCAAAGATAAGGGGGGGGAAAGAATCTCCAAGTGTTTCAAAGGGAAGGGTTTTAAGGGTTTAAAGGGTTTAAAAAGATCTCAGAGAATATCCCTTGAAATCCTTCGGGGTCTACTTTATTTTCCGGGGACCCCTAATAGAGATGTGGCTGCAGCCTTTTGGCGCCTAGGGCGATCACATTGTCCTTTACGCATGATCATCCCTGGCTTAAGAACTACATTCCAGATCTCACGTCATGGATAGAATATGTAGAGAATATCCAATATAGGTTACTCTGCATACTTATACAACCCGTACTCCGTTATATATATATAATATAAAACTCGGCATGATCCGACTAGGGAAAAAGGGGTGTGGAACATGCGGCACGCGGAGCAGCAAGGGGTCTGTCACCCCCGTTCATGCAGGATTAAATAGTACAGTTGTTTTTCAAATTTGCCAATCATCTTGACCTATTATTTGTACCCAATTTTTGTAGTGTTCTAGTTTAATTTGTCACTTGTTTTTTTGATCAGATCAAAAAATTGCCGGTATTTTTTTTTAATATTTTTTTATAGCGTTTTGTCCTACGGAGATTATTCGGGAATTCTCCTAGCCTCAACGGCTAAATCCGTATAATCTCAATCTCTACATATGTACCTTGAAACCCCTAGGCAATTCTACGGACCCTGATAGAACCCTTTATCAGGGTCCGTATTTCGGATGAACATAAAGGGGGTCCGAGGCCTCTAGGGCGTGATTGGGCTCATATCACATCTTGATCACCCAGGTTGATCTAAGGGTTTAAACGTGATGGCCTGCATGCCAAGTTTCAATCTTGAGGTAGTCAAATTTTCAATATCTTCGTATACTAACAAGTCTAGGCTACACCAACTTCTTCCCATGTGGTGATCTGGGCAGTTCCTAAATCCCGGATACATTGGACTGTAAAAAAAAAAAAAAAATCTCCGAACACAAATGGTATCTCTGCAATATAGACATCTATTCTACAGTAAACTTTTCCTCCCAAATCAACGTCTCTTCGATGGCCGAGCATTCTTATCGCGACGCTGTTGCACCTGCTTCCGTGCCTTGCGAATATCCTCCGTAGACCGAAGTTCGCTCTTTCCACCATATGCCGCACCTCCCAACTTATCGTGCTGGCGTTCACGTGCAGCTTCGTTCTTCTTCTTCATCCGATCGTAGTCGCGACGCAGAGGATCAGCACGCTTAGGCGCCCGGTCCTGGTTGTGACGGAACCGTCCACTGCTCATGCGCGAGTCGACACTGTTCATAGCAGGCGTCTCAGCCTCGCCAACACGAGGCATCCGATCCACGCGCTTGCCCTTCTTCCAGGCTTGGAAGCGACCACTGCGGAAACTGGCGGCGATCTTGGCTCCACTCTCACCGCGCACAAGTCGGCTGCCCTTGGAGCCGTCCTCGTCGTTCTGGCGGGCAACGTACTTCTTGTGTCGCTTGTCCCAACGCATGATGGAACGCGCTTCACCGAAACCGCGCTTGCCTTCGTCGCCATTGAGATCCATCGTCGCGTTGCGAGAGTCACTGGCAAAGTTCGAGTTTGTACCCGAGTGCACACCGTAAGCCTTATCTTCGGCCATGTCGTTGTGTAGAGGCGTGTAGCCCATGAAATAATCGGGGTTCTGGAATGCTGCCGCTGCATCTTTCTTCTCTCCTTGCTTGGACTTGGAGTTGTAGGCAGAGAAAGTGACCTCGAGTTCATCGTCGGATGCCTCTGACATGTTCTCGCCGGCGTGCTCGGGGATATCGTCGTTCTCCACTTGACCATCCTCGCCGGGAGTGGGCATTCCAAGTGCTTGCAACTCGGCCTCTGCTTTGGCATCGGCACGCTTTCTCTTGTTCTCGACACTAGTGCGGAGTCGTCGAATGGTGTCAACGGCCTCATTGGCCTCCACTTTGCCGCCTCGTCGGTTGTTCGCCTCGAAAATCGTTTCATGGGGCCGGTAACCACCAATGCGGGCCAACATACTCTCTCGCTCAACTTCCCTCTCACTGGTTGCATCGTTAAAGAGCGGGTGAATCTCGGCCCAGTGATCAGAAGAAACGACCTCCTTCGCCCGCTTCGCGCTCTCGGCAGAGGCCGAATTACGGGTGCGTAGATACAGCTTCTCTCCCTTTTGAGACACTTGCTTTTGTCCGTAAATATCAATGTCATCGTCGAGCACCTTCTGTACCCATTCGCAAGTGCGAGAGACTGGCTCTCTTGCCAGCGTTCCAACGACAACGTCCTCTGCAAAGTTGAGTTCAGTGCCGTATTGGCGACCGAGAACCAGCCTGCGTCCCAAGAACAGCTGAAGATCCAGAAGATACGGGGCATCCTTGTCGCGAACAAGACTGTAACTCCAGCCCTTTTGGCCGGCACGTGCCGTACGACCGACACGATGAATGAAGATCTTAGGCTGTGAAGGGAAGTCGTAGTTGATGACGTTGGCAAGAACGGGAATATCAATACCTCTGGCGGCCACATCGGTGACGACCAGGATGTTTGAGATACCGGATCGGAAGTTTTGAACATGATGGTTACGAGCAGTCTGATCCAGGGAACCATAGGCGTAAGAAGTGGCAAATCCTGCCTCAACGAGAAGAGCATAGAGGTAGTCTACGTGATGCTTGGTTGCAGCGAACACGATGGTTGAGTGCTCGGTAGGCGACTCCTTGAAGCCGCTTGGGAGACGGACATCCGATCTCTTGCGCTTCCTTGTAGGGTTCTCGGCCTCTTGGCGTAATCTTCCGCCAATATATGTCTCACCGGTAGGCATCTTGATGATATCGTGCAGAATGTGTAGTAGGGCACCTTCTTTGTCTGATGACTTGACAGCAAAGAACGCATTTTGTAGATCAGGAGACACTTTGTTTTCTGTGTCCAGACGAATCAGACTTGGCTCCTGTAGACCAGCGCGTGCAAATTCGACAAGTGACTTGGGCAATGTAGCGGAGAAGAGAAGAGTCTGGCGGTTGGTGGGCAGGCCGTGCAAAATCTCGGTCAACTGTGCGGCGAAACCCATCTCGAAAAGTCTGTCGGCTTCATCGAAGACAACATACTTGATGCTAGAGAGATCCATGTCCATCTCAACCTTCAAGTGCAGGAATCGACCGGGTGTTGCGATGATGATATCGGGGTTGTTGGCCATCATGCCGAACTGATCTTCCAGACTGTCACCACCAATGAGAAGCACTGATGTCAAAT